CGCTTATACTCTGATTGGCAAACTATACTTTATACTATAGTCAACAGAGGCACTGCATCGATGCTTTACCCACAGTCCATAGCTTGTAACTGCCTGATAAGCTTGTAAAATGGTACTTTTAAAAATAGTGCTTTCCAACAAGAGGTGAAACACAGAGGATTGCGTGAGGCATGACATATATACAAAAATAAGCTTAAATGAGCCTAACATCACAAAAGGAGGGAGGGTGGAGTTACTGATCAGCATTGATGGTGAGGGCGGTAACTTCAATCCACCCGTGTTTGTGGGGACAGAACATTTTGTATGTATCAGGCTCCTCATGATTTAGAATAAGTCAATCAATCTGTGATATAGATTGTTTTCCTACGCTCACCACTCAAACTCATGTTTCCAATATTATGCTGGATTAGTTATTCTACTAAGACAACCTATAACATGCTAACTCGGATTTTTACACTAGGATTGTGTGGCTGGCATCGGACAAACAGAAAAAGGAATAAAAGTTAGCCAACAAAAGATGTTGTCATTAGTATTCTTAACACTTCACCCTCTATATACACACCCTTCTAATAAACCGCTTTCCTTGTACCTGCCTTGACTTCCTTTGCTTCATGTGAGCTTACTACAACTCGTTAAACGACACAACTCATTGTTCTTTATTACTACATTGTCTAATATGGAGCCTCTGATTTCATTTCACTATAACAAGAGATAATATGAATTTATTCCAATTTATTATACCTCTGTCCGTTCTACTACACTATGTTAAGCAACGTTTGGCGTTCATATCCAAGTGCCTTGCTGCTCTTCTGTTTCTCTTTTTCTTCTTCAGAAATTCGCTCTGAGGGCACAGCTACGAAAATTTCGACGTCTGGAACAAACTTAACGTACGCGTCTCCTCAAGTTCACAGTTTACAGCAAGCGCTCTACGATTTCACTTTATAACAACTATAAACTTAATTAGTTGGGAAACATTTTGTGAACCAACAAATGTTGTAATTTATTGATCATGCCTATTAAAATGGCGTGTACCTGCGTATGCAGAAATATATATTAATATTAATAATACTAAGTCCGTGAGAGACAAGAGTCTTCGTAATTCATATTTGGATAACCCACATCCCCTACGGTTTAGTCTATCAGCCGAATTACGTAAAAAACCAGTCAACTGAATTTCAATGTCAAGCCATTCTGACGTTAACTATGTTTCTGAGACAGCGGTGACATTCTAGTTTTCTATATCCAATGTCGTCTTGAGCTCCGCCATTTTATTTTGTAGGCTGCGAGTATTTGTGTAGCACGCCTTTAATTCAGTGGGAAGCTTTCCAGACATCAGAAATTTTAATAACAGTGAAGATGCCACAAATATACAATTTTTGATAAAGAACCTCAAGCCAGTAGTCAACAACGGAGAGTTGTGAACGAATATTTGAGTTAAAGATTAATGTATCATACTGAGTGGAATATAATTTTATTAGACATCTTAAGAGATGCGAAGAATTGAGAACCTGAACATGAACTGTTGTGGATGTTTCACGGTATGACTCTTACGTGTGGTGTGACTAGTTAGATTTATAAAATCAGCGTCAATATATAAGCCTACATAAGCATTCTTTTCGAGTATTTATACAGCCACCGCACAACACAAGTACTAAATCAAATCTTGATGCACAATGAAAAATTACTCGATTATTTCTAGAAATCAAAATGAAACACTAAACTCCACTCTTATTAAGACTCAAACGTCATGGAACTTAGCATTTGTTAGATAAATTACTTAGAAAAATTAATGTTGATGCAGAAGAGCTAGACGACATGAAAATAAAGTCTCACTTCATAATATTTGATGTTCATATGGCATAAGCGTTTAGCAAGTGAGATGTAATTAGATGAAATCTCAGTCGAGGACAAATAAGCTTCTCATATTACTTAGTTCTCAAATACTAATTTTGGTTGAGCATATTTTCCATTATCTACGTTGTATCAGAAGGGGTTTTCTAGAGCTTGTAGTAATTTAAGTAGTCGAGATCATGAGTTAGTTGAGATTAGACAATCATGGAAAACCTGAAAGCACTGGACGAATGTTTCGTCCCGTGAGATTCCTCAACAGTGCTCATCCACAACACCGCCTCGCGAAATTCGAACCCAGAACCTGTCAGTTGTGAGATAGTAACTCACTGATGACATTGCTAGATGCATCGCTCAATTCCGTGGATTAGTTGAAGTTAGACATTAACACCGTTGGATGCCGATTCAGTGGTCTAGTGGTTAAGCGCTCGTGCGCGAAACTGATAGGTCCCGGATTCGAACTCCACTAGGCGGGATCGAGGATACGGACTGCTGAGGAGTCCCACAATAGTACGAAACGGCCATCCAGTGCTTCCAGGTTTTCCATAGTGGTCTAACTTCAACTCAATCATGATTTCAACTATTGAAATCAAGTTTGTTCTTGAATTTACAGTATGAGATATAAATTTAACACGTACTCACACTTTGATGTTGCTTGTAACAATGTATAGATATTGTACAAATAACATAAATTTATTAAAAATACAAATCGGTCTGTCATTTTAGTACATGATAAGTATGAAAAATTTTGATAATGAGAATTATTTGAATTATAGTATGAACTAAGAATCTCATAAATAACGCAATTAAATCAAGAAGTACTAGACAAGCACGAACGAATGTACTGTATTTAGAAATAGAAATCAAGCATTCAACAAGTGCAAAGGAATCATTAGTTCATTCAAACATCACATCCACCACAGCTTAAATTGGAGTCTGGGTGTCTGTAATCAATTGAACGTCTTTTTCTCAAGTTCATCCTGTGTCTGTCCGACAATGTATTGGATAAATACTCTATTACATAGAATGGACTCATTAGTATTAGAATTAATATCCAAAATCGGAACAGACTCACGTGCTTCCTTGGGTTGTGTACAATCACCATGTTAGTCGAGTACTGAAACCGATGCTACCTAGAATTTGAACCACAGACATTCAGACTATCATCCCACACGAAATAATGATGGATCATTATATCTCCAAGTTATGAATAATGTGGCTTCATTTAAAACATATTTCTCACATTGACTATAGTAAACACTAGAAGTGACTTCGTGATATGGATAAACAACAGTTGATATGAAATCATCAGAATTGTAATGGAAATCGAGGTCATTTAGTACTCGTGCTTCGCACTGAACAAGTTTCCCACAAGAAACAAATGCATTATGAGAACAAATAATATTTGACATGACATTAGGATTTTATTCTTTTGAAATAGTTTCCTCGAATTTATTAAGAATGTCATTGCAGAACGTAAATAATAATGATGAGTAAAACATAGAGATCTAATACATCAATAATTGAGATGAAAGCACCAGGTAATACTTTGAAACCGAAACTTCAAAGCTGGAAGGCTATGGCATCACTTATAAGATAGAGTAGAGATATTATAATGCGAGTGGAGCCAATAAAAGTATTTATATGTTCTAAGTAAGCAAATAATCATTTTTGTACAAGATCGTGAAAAAAAGCAGACACGTATAAATTATTCCAAGATAATAGCTTCAAATATCCTCCCAAGTTGCTGCGCCAAAACATAACAATGAAATAAAATTGTCAAGATAAGTACCAAAATATCGGAATTAGTGGTATTTTATTTTGTATTTGAACTCATAAATATTGGTACAAGGGGGCACCAAATATATATGCGCCACACGAAGTAGTGGTATGTCATATGTGGAGAAGATTTGACATACGAAATGATCCGAAAATCAAGAAAAAATTTACAACACATGCAATTTGAAACTCCGAACCTAGGAGTATGGAATTAGCTAATGAGTCTACACTGCGAAGATGGATTTTTAGTCTGATAAGTGAGATCGTCATCAATAATATAAAACAATCTTCAGAACGATACCACCAACCTTTCAGGAGATATTTTGAATACCATTTACTTATTGTTAACTCTCCACTCATTGGTCAGTTTATTTGAAATTATCTTGTTCAACATTTGTATGGATACTTATGTGACCGACAATTTGGATGAAAATCGAGCAATGCAACCACAGTTAAATGAGTATGGTGGTGTACGCTACTTATAATGACGGATATAAGTGGTATTTAGCACCAATCAGAAGGAGAATGCCTGGCAGACGAAGAATAAGAAGACTGATTTGAAGAGAACAAGAAAAGGAACAGATATTGTAACAGCAGAATTGAAAGAATCATGAAGCATGTTGAAAACACTTGAAGGGAAATGTGCAAATATCGTTTACAATGTATGGTTTTCATGTTATGAACGCACTCAGTAATTTTTTGATGAACAATGAGCCGGTTTCCCACTACTGAGTGTTTGTTCACTGAAGTATTAGATAACAGTTATTTTCAAACAATTTGTTCACTTGACAAAGAAATAATGTGAGGTTCTGAATAACAATGTGTGACGGTATATTGTAGAACATTTACTGCCGAAAGAAAGCTAATCAATTGGTTGTATTGGTAGTTCAACGTCTAAGTATGTACGACGTGAATTCGTTTGGGTTTTTATTAAATGAGTATAGATATATTAATAGACCACACTACAATATATGTCATAACTAAAAAATATAATTAGCTGACAATGATGAGCTGATAAACTGAAGACAATTTCTTATGGTGAATCGTTAAATTATATTACTTTCCTCTAATAGGTTGACATTATTGGAAATGTTTTTCTTCCAATTTTCCACTGTGATGTATAATCGAATTTTTTATTGTAATAGGTATAAACTGATCGAGATCTGTTTCAACAAACTGATTATTAAATGAAGATAGGATGTTGAATAATTTCTGACTTTCAACGATTCCCTAATAACTAATATCAGTCCAAGATGATCAAATTCAATAAACCCTCATTAATATGTTGTGGTGAGTTCCCCTACATGTCTTATTATGAAGGTGAAAGTGCAGGCCAGTAATTCAACCTCAATTTAGATAAATTAGTAGTACATCATCATAACAAACTTGTTTATTTATCTTAAACATTAAAAATAGTAATAATAATCTAAATAGAACTACAATAAATAAAACCAAACAAAATCGGAATATATATCATGGTTATCGCCATCATCAGCTATTATTTTGCGGCGTTCTCAAGATATTCTCTACTTTATGATGTAACATATTCATTATTCAAAACGAATTAGAGCAGAGAATATGTAAATAATGAGAAGCCATTACAGCTCAAATTTAACAAAAAAGTGGGAGGGAAAGACAAAATAGAAAGTAGTTAACATGAACAAATGACAGGAACCATTAGTAAAAGCAATCAGTTGAACATGAGATAACATCATTATTTCGAGAAAGATAATTTAACAAGTCTATAATCATACGTATAACCCTCAATTGTATAACGACAAAAAAGGATTAATACCACAGAAAGAACACGCAAAACTGATAAATGTGAATTTTCACCAAGTAATTGATGATTAGATTTCAGTTTGAACAAGAGATCATCTTATATATTTCTAGCGAATAAATACAAGTCATCACGACAATGAAAGTCTAGTGGACTTTAATGTAGGTCTATCAACTTTATTACCAAATTTCTTTCAAAATATCATAATAAAAAGGACAAAACAAGTGAAAAGCAGTCTAGATAATCATGAGAGAAAAAAAATGCAATCTGACAGTAGTAGTTGAATTCTTAAGGTCAAGTTATTTACGTTCACAAGATTCATGTGCACACAAACACACACACACATGTATTTAGACGAATATAGTTCTAATAAAACTTGACAATTAAGCTTGATTCTAATTAAAGGTAGAATATATATAACAATCAATTAGTCCGGCGCTTAATGTTACATGAACTAAAACATGCAATTAATATTGAGACAAAGTTTATAAGCATAAGACAAAAATAAATCAACACTTGTTTAAACAAAAATATAAATACACAGAATTTAATGCATTTATATGATCACTTAACGATAGAAATATTGACGATGGATGTTTAAAACAAATGCATAGTAGATGAAAGGTTATTAGAAATAATAAAGAAACCAATAATGATAATCACTGTGTAAAATAGATAATAATAAAGTAAGACAAAATTATGAAAATGATTATTACAAGTGTAAATTAATCTATTCAATATATGAGACTTTACTTAATAAGTAGTATTATTATGTTTAATTAAAAAAAAATTATGATTCAGTGAAAAATAACGATGGTGCAATAAGTTAATTGTTAATTTGATAAATGAACAATGAAGAACAATAACAAACACATGGATATGAAAATATTTATTAAAGAATTTTGTGTATATGTAATAAAGTAAAAAATTCAGATTATAAATTTTTAAAATTTACTAAATTTTGTCCCATTGATTAAGTGATCAAAGATGAAGATGTTATAATTGACCACAGTATTATGAGTAGTATCTGGACCATATTTTTTCAATGAAATTATGTCGATAAACATTTCTTCCTGTTAATTATTTCGACGACTTACCAATAAGTAAGTTTTCATATTACCTTTACCTTTGACAAACACTTCATCGCGATATTCAAATATATAACGTGATTCTAAGCGTTTAGCAACAGCTTCAGTAACTTGTATTCTACCTTTTAAACCTGTTGAATACATACGACTAGCCACGTTGACAGTATCACCCCATATATCATATAATAATTTTGTAGTACCAATAACACCAGCTGTCACTTCACCAATATTATAACCAACTTTTAGCTCAAATTGAAAATTGAACATTTGACGATTGAAATCATCTAGTGTATGGATTAAATCTAAAGCAAAATCAAGTAATGCCCACAAATGTTCATCTGATCGTTTATTGCGTTTACGTTCAGTCATATTTAATCCAGAAGCAGCCATAAAACATGAGCCGATTGTTTTAATTTTCTCAACGTCTTTATATTTTGATAAGGCGAGTTGATGCTCAAAATCAGCAAATATTTCATTCATAACACGTAACATCTCTTGACCACCTTGGTATTGTTCGTCATAAAACTCAGAGAAATTCGCAATACATGCAAAAACTACACCAGCATCTTCAATATGTCGAGAGTATTTATTATGCTGACGTAAATCATCCATTATATAATATGGAATAATGTTCTCCAGTAACCAATCAGCTTGCAATTTTTGATGACCGATAGCTTCCTTAGCTCGTAGAGCTTCATAATCTCGATGAAAACTTAATCGGAAATTAATATCAAATTCACGATTCAATGCACCGACTAGAATCAAAGTAAGCAATCCAATCACGATATACTCATACACGGCATTATCAGACATGGCTGGATATGACCAATCAGGAAACTCAAATAACAACGATGAATTTCGATTTTCTAATCGTTCTTCAACAATTGCTGGACTATTAAAACTATATTTTATTGCCGAATACCACGACTGAGCATGCTGTGGCGAACACGTGTACTGAAGTGTTTTATGTAAGGATATCAATAGTATACCCAATGAACAGACGAATGTAGCTGAAATAGTTTTCGTCCAAGAGGAAAACGACGTGAACAATGTACAGTTAATAAACATAAAAGTGAACAACAAACCAATCTGTGTACGATAAGTAGCATAGAACATGTGAGAATAATAATAGGCGTCTTTCTGATTTAATGACGCATCGAGTGTTAGTAAAGGTGTATATTTATTAAATAAACAATAAGAATAGGTCGACAAAACAACAGATGTTGGCAAGATCAAAATAAAAACACCAATCACATTACGTGAATTCCAACGAAACAGCTTCCCATATAGCCGAATCACTATACGTCGCCAATCATAACGGCTTCTAGGAGTTTTCAACATGGACTTACTACTACTATTGATACGTTTTGGACACCAGGCCCATGCAGCCAAATCGGAAATTAACAATGCCAATAACAGTGTATGTATCATGAAGGCGATAAATAGAATAACATAAAAAGTTGGCGTATTCACTGCTTTTCGAGCATCTGGAAAAACAATTAAACATGTTATAGCAATGACAAAAATCAATATTGTCTCTGTAATTGTATTAATAAATGGTGCGATACGTGGTGTGGACCATGATAATTTCTCAATAGAGTGCATTCTTGGACGTCGTAAACCTAAACGTCGATAACTTTTCTCAACCATGGGAACAAAGAAATTCAAACTTAATTTGGATATTGGTGGAAAAATGAAAATTTCATCAGGTTGAACAAAATCTTGTAATGCCTGCAACATTTCCACATCAGAACCGCGACTAATAGCATACGAAGTAGTTATAGTAGTAGTAGATGTTGTTGTTGTAGCAGTATGCGGTATAGTTATGTTCTTATTATCCATAGACAGACGATTTTCTGTTAAGACTGTTGAAACAGATTGTGGGAGTTGACTGGTATCCACCAGCTTTTTATTGTCTCCATTATTATGTTGTGTAATGCCGTCAGGTTTCTTAGCGACATTATTAGTAATTTCGTTATTCACAAGTGGATGATATGAGGTAAAAGTGTTGTGAATTTCCGTGGTTGATGAAATACTAGTATTCATTGCTGTTGGGAGAACTGCGTCAATATTCCGTGATTCATGCAGATTATTATTTGTGGTAACAGTTGCACTATCGCAAACATTATTAGTCTAAAAGAAAAATGGTAGTTGTACAGAAAATTATTCGGTTGGAGAACAGTTTTATGACGACTTCTCAAAAATAGTAAACCTATGAAAAATACAACCTCATATCTGTAAACAATAACGGCCTAGAAGTTAGAGCATTCAGTTCCCGATCAATAGTTTGAAGCGTGTCCGAGCCCATCTAGTTCCGTTTAGGCAGTTATATATATATATATATATATATATATATATATATATATATATATATATATATATATATATATATATATATATATATAACAATCAGCGACGACCAGATATAAAAATTGGAGACGGGGTAAAAAAATATTACGACCCAAAGTCAGTCTGTAATTGGACGAAATTAAGTCAAATTATTTCGAGCAATCAGCATCCAGATTTGTCATCAGTGTCTTTGAACGACATTGATCATTATTCATACAGTAATTTTCATTACCGGTGCTGATTCAGAAAATGACTCTCCCTTCCGATCGATTACAACTACTATTTGAGCGACAGTTGGCGTTCTTAGTCAAATTACGCACACAGCTGCTGAATCACTCACGTTTTGGAGATGCGACGGAAGTGAATGGATTAATTTCTCAATTGCACACTGAACTGGAAAATAATTGCAGCCTCCATGAATCCTTGGCAAACAGTAATTCAATAGCCATCGCAAATGTTTAAAGATGCTTGATCAACTTATAACATGCGTCTGTAACTCATTTACCAAGTACAAGTTTTTGTACTGGTACTACTAGCCATCCTAAACTGGAATTGGAATCTAGTTCAAACGTTACACCTGTTGGTTGGATTACCTTAATTGCTAAACCATAGATGAACCAGAATCAAAACTGGTTACTATTAAAAACGATAATTTATCAACTGAACCAATATTAAGATTTACGTAAATTAGATCTCATAAATTCGCTTAGGGTATAAGGTATAAATCTAGTAGTAATAATGCTTGTTTTGACTGTTTACTGAGAAAACATTTTCTACCTCACTTTCAAAATGTTTACCAAAAACAACACCCAATGATCGCTTATCTTGGAAGTCTGATCAGCCCTAATGGGTTGGTGCCTGACAAAATCTCAGCACGGATTCGAAAAGCTCGTTTGGCTTTTGCCAACTTACATCACCTATGGAGAAGGCGAGATATCCTTCTATCAATAAAAGGACGAGTATATAGCACGGTAATTCGTTCTGTCCTAATTTACGGCTGCGAAACGTGGCCATTAAGAGTACAAGATACTCGTAAGCTACTAGTATTTGACCACAGATGCCTCAGAAATATTGCTGGCGTCTGTTGGGATCACCGGGTAAGTAATAGTGAGGTTAGACGCAGGGTATTAGGAAAGGATGGTAAATCAGTTGATGAGGTTATGAATCTTCATCGACTGAGATGGTTGGGCCACGTGTTACGTATGCCTGAACACCGATTACCACGACGTGCAATGCCATCCGGTGTTGGGGATGGTTGGAAGAAAGTTAGGGGCGGCCAAACCAAAACGTGGCATCAGTGCTTGAAGTCACTAACTTCTAGTCTGAGCCATCTTGGAAGATGCAGACTACTTGGTTGGGGTCCGCATGACTATCGTAACCAACGGCTGGAGACTCTTGGTGACATGGCTCGGAATCGATCACAATGGCGTCGATGTATACACTCGCTGTCCTCTCTTAAACTAAGAGATTAAAATCACGTCATATCCTATATATATATATACTATATCCTTATATGCAATCTTTCTTTTATATAATATTACCACCACTGAATTAACTATTTCTATGAATTCGATGTTCATCTTGCAGTGCTAATGTGGTGTGGTAACTTGGACCGATGAATATATGTGCCTGGTCCTACGTTGTAGCTGACTGACTGTTCGGACTCAAAACTGAGGATAGAAGGTAAACATATTGATTGACCAGAAGAAACTAAGATTATATCAGCATTAACTCATGTTTAATCTTGCCAGTCAAAGTGTATCATTGGTCAAAGCTTAGAACGCTAGTCTGCACACAAAATAGAACACGCAAGGTAAAGAAATTATAATCGGGATTATAATTGGCGAATCATCATTAGATGTCGAAAAACTTGTGGTCATAACAATCAACGAGATAAAGAAACTAAAAACATAGTACGTTATTTCGATTTTCATCTGAACATGAAACTAAAAGGGTTTTGGAAGATCGGGACACATAGTTTAGTGAACGATGATTTAAATACAGTAAAACCAATTTATTGTTTTACGTAAAATCGCACAACGCTTTAGTAGAATATGAAAATCATACATTAAATGCATCATTTGCATATCTTCCTTCATTTGTTCGTGTTATAATGCAACATTAGTCTAATACTGCTGTTATTTCGATTGCTCTCCATTTTCTTTCTTGTTCTTTTTATTTCAATCTTCTGCTGGTAAGTTTTCCACTTCCTTTTCCTGCTACATACTACTTATATGAAGCATCAAGAGATGTTTGAACAGTTCCAAATCAGAATCATGGAAGCCCTGATGCATAAATTGTACCTGTCCCAGCAAAACCTTGCTTCAGGTGAATCACAAGTATCTTATACTGATTCATTCATTAACTCCATCCATGAATTTAATTTTGATGGTGTAGCAGATGTAACTTTTGATTCTTGGTTTAAGAAATATGAAGATTTGTTCTGTATTGATCATAGCAAAATTGATGACGCCTCAAAAATCAGAATACTTCAAAAAAAAAACTTGGGACGATGGAACATGAACGCTATAGTAACTTCATTTTCCCGAAGAATCCACGAGACTTTAGTTTTGATGAAACAATTAAAACCCTGTCTCAAATATTTGGAGAACAGTCATCTCTATTTAATATCCGTTACCAATCCTTGAAGATAACGAAAGAACCAGGAGATGACTGGGTGAAACATGCAGGAAATGTGAACCGAGACATTGAGGCGTTCAAGTTGTCTACCATGACTGAAAACGAGTTTAAATGCCTAGTTTTTGTCTGTAAGGTTCCAGCACGCAGAATTATTGAAATGACAGCAACAAACGATCATACCCATACTGGTTATGTGGCGTTTGGCCTTCCAAAAGATTTTGTCCTTCTAAAAATCATCGTTGTACTACGTGTTCTACAAAAAGGCACAAAGAAAGTCATTACAAAACCCGGAAACGCCGTCAACAGACAGTGTGTTCTAGAAGATTCAAGCCATGAATAGCTAAAGTAACGGTGGCTCTTCATAAGGCTGGTTTACATAACCGTAGAAAGTATGTTTCTCTCAAGATTAATGGGTATGATGCCCGCTTACAGTTAGACACAGCCTCTGATATAACACTTATAAGCAGAAGAATGTGGGAGAAAATTGGGAGACAGAAAATATATTCAACTCGTCAATTAGCACAGAGTGCATCTGGGGGAATTCTAAATATTGCTGGTGAAATCACAGTCGGAGTTTACGGAGAAGGGTGTAATATTTTTTGAAAGAAAGTTCATCACTCGACTTATTGGGGTTTGATTGGATAGAAAGGTTGAAGCTAACAGACTGGCCCATAAACTCGGTCAGCAACAACGTCGATACGTCGAAAGTTGAGAAGGACATATTCAAAAGAGCACTACTGAAAGGGGAAGGAGAGGAAACAAGTCAGGTAATTACGAAATTCTTAACAGCTTATCGAACTACGCTTAACCATATCGTCCCAGATGGAAAATCCTCTGATGAAGCGATGTTCGGGAGAAGCATCCGAACTATATTCGACGTCATGTTACCACCTAAACCAGATAAAATCAGAATATCCGGAGTTTTAACGTGGGTGATAAAGTGCTCGTCAAATCATACATTGGGAAAAATCGTTGGGAACCGGGAGTTATTGAGAAGAGAATGGTAAATGGTTTATACAGTGTGTGGGACTTTCGGAACGTGGATTAGATACATTAATCAAATACACAGAGAGAAAAGGACTCTAGACACGGTAGATAATCGAGTGAGGCTTCCGCTATATATAGTTACAGATACTCCAATGACAGGAACCCCGACAGACACTCATAGACTCTGGATACCAAGAAAGTTCGGACGCCGCAGAAAACTAGTTATCAAGCTGCAAGTAGACCTGAAGAAGAAGTCTTATTCTTTGAAACGGGGGTGTTGGGGTGATCGAGAAAATTTCTCGCAAAAGACAAAAAATGCTCAGGAAACACTAAGGAGCATTTTATCCTATCAGTGTTTACTAGAAGTTTAGCCAGAAACATTAAGAAAGCGAAAAGTTACATGCAGAGTTTCTGATTGACCGATTACTATACTGCTACTATATAGTAGCATTCCAGAATTTTCGGGGAACCCAAGGACATCTAAAATATTATAAAAACCTTATATTTTCTGTACTAAAACGAACCTTTGAGGTAAAGTGCTTCTCGCATATTTTGCGCTTTTCCTCTCGTGTTCAGGTCGCTGTGTAGTTCCAGCTTGGGGGTCACGAGAATAGCTTAGGAATTGATATAGCGTTCAATTAGCAAGACCTATCAACGACTGGGAAAAAACTAATCTGACCGACTGAACTATAAGCTTCACACATTACTCAATAGAGAGTGAAGGGTTATTGAATAGTTGCTTGTTTCATAATCAAGAACTGATCAATCGCCATTCATTTCGTCACTATATTATAATGTAAAGACCATGAATATATACAGTTTGAATACACAAAACATCAAATAACAACCTACACTTTGTAATTGAACTGGACCAACTTCCAGTTGCATCTAGAAAGGGAGAAAATAAGATTTAAAAAGCCACTATTATTTAACTAACATCATTTTGATCTCCTTTAGCGAAAACAATAAAAACATTACAGAAACATATTTGTACGTAATAAGGGATTTTTACTGAGTAAACGTAAACTACAAGCATGGATCAGCGCCAATTATGGTTAATATATTTATTTAATGTTTCACTAGTGAATCGCCGTTTCGAACTCTGGAATTTTAGACATAATAAGGTATTTATTAGTAGGCTACCAAAATGATCATTTGAAACTAAATGCACATGCAAATTTTCTGTAATAATTCCCAGAGAGAGTGATATGGATTTACAGTTTAAAAAAATGTTGAATGATTGTATATAATAGGATTTTAAGAAGTAGTAACAGTAAGACAGGATAAGTGATTAAGTTAACAGAATATGAAGCATTTGCAAATCAATCTGGTGCATTTACATTTAGTTGATTACCAAATATTGAGTTACTATATTTAACTTAAAGTTTCAAATGTCTTTCATATCACAATAAATCATGGATTATATTTGTTTGCAGCCATGTGAGCTTTGGTTAGTGACACATAATAATGAGAATATTTATCCAGTGATTAATAATAACCCATGTATTAAGTTCAGTTGATACGACTAACGTAACTGAGGTAACCTTACTACAATGATCCACTTATGTGTGCTTGGAAATGGCATTGAGAACACCATTGTAAATGGACGGTAAAGTAAAGGTTGTAGAAGTAGATGAAACAGATATTCAAAAGAAGAATTATAATAAAAAAAGGAACTTAAGATTAGGATAGTTTTTGGTAAATAAAATAATCTTTTTGGAGAGCGTTCCTCACAGTAAACTACCCATCACTTCTTGCATGTTTTATGTCTAGAAAATAATAATGTCACTAATTGTGTAAGATTATTTTATGTGAACAGACCTTGTTACTAACCAACTAATTGATCAAAAAATGATATATGTCATATATATTTTATTGTGTCGTATTGTCATAAGGACAAATGTAAGCGAATGAAAAGGTGGTCACTATGAAATATACGGCAGTGAAATGAACGACAACACAATACAACTGGTGTCTGTTGAATCATAGCAACTCTCCGATTGTGGTTTTAGAATTCATGTAATTCTGTGTCTTGAGACGTCATTACTTTTGGTTCGGAAAAGAAACTAATGATGATCAAACTCCTCATATGGCTAACATAAACCTTATATTTCTTGGATGTATTTATAAATGGACAGACAACGGTGTTTAACAATAAGTTATTGAGCCCATTCAGTTATTGATACGACATTTGCCTATTAAATTTATTTACAATATATTGATCATACTTTGTGAGTATCACTCTTGTGATTTCCTGTGTTATCAGTATTACCTGTGTTACAAATAAACTAAAAGACTAGTTAGAATTATGATTTCTTGATTAAATATTCAAAACTTTTCCCATCAGCAATCTGATGGAATGGGCATATATTGTATGAAGACTATTATAGTTCAATAGTCAAAACATTCGACTTTTATTAATGAGATGGAAGTTGTAAGAATAATTTAACAATAGCTCAAAAATTACACTGATTGACCACCGAATAGCAATGCACAGTTATTCGTGCAGAATCAATTCTCTAGACGAAGTTGCAATATATATACTAGTGTAAGTCACTGAACAATACCTGCACTGTGCACTGATATTAGGTCTCATTCTACGATCGGCAGTAAGGACAAAAATGACAACGGCTACTACTCAGTGGCCCCCAAATGCCCTGATATGGCCGAGAGCGGGGTGGGCTCACCCTCCCTCTCGAAATACTTTCACACAGTATCCTGAGGGAACAAATGGCGTACGAACCAAATTCTTGGTCACGGGCTACCATGGGACTGCATCTCCCCACGACGCTCCACTGCCTTGTGGGTTAGACCTTTAGGTCAAAGGCTCGGGGTGTGGCCCCCTAAGAAAACCACCTGCTTCGGTTTGGGCACCCGGGCAGTATCACAGCCAACACACAAAATATGATGAACTGTCGTCTATTTATGGAAAATATTCTTCTTGCTCCGAATAACCATCAAGTGACTCACATTATTATTATTATTTACTACGTCATTTATTCACCCTCTTTTATTCCCACTCTGTTTATACTTATTTTTCGATTTATACAGCAGCTCGCTTATGGTGGAAATTCGACTATATCTAAACGTTCTCGAGTCACCGCCTGGTTGAAAATTGTATGCTACCACCGAATACGAATACTGAAGCAGTTTTTCTGAAACCACGTGCACCATTCAAACTGGCTCCCTTTAACGTTCGCACACTTATGCAGGTCGGACAACAGATAGGGTTGGCTATGTCTTTGGAAAGTCTTAATATTGACGTTTGTTGTCTATCCGAGACCCGTATTCACTTGTTGGTCGCAGGTCAGATAACGGGGACCGTCTACTGCAACTGCGCACAGACCACAACCTGTTTCTGGCTAGCACTAACTTTCGGCACAGTCATCGCCGATGTGCCACCTGGCGTCCTCCCTCTGCATCCCAAGCCTGGACTCAGATTGATCACATCGCGATCAGCTACCTCTGGCGTGGTTGTGTACAAGACTTCCGCTCCTTTTGGAGTACTTATCTGGACTCTGATCATACCCTAGTCTGCGCCAATATTGCCTTACTTTTCAGTGGCCAACGAAGTGACCGCCAATAAAGGACTGATGTGAGCAAGTTGGTTGTAACTAAGTATCGAACCGAGCTAGCTTCTAGGCTAGCTACGATTCCACTGAAAGTGGTTGTGTCTCCCTTGACTGAAAGATTTCTTCTGATTGTGCCTTTCCGTTTCCACCGTTATTATTATTACACTACCTTACACTAATCTGTTCGTTATTGTTCTCTTTTTTACGCTCCTTACCTTTTTTAAATTCTCTTTAAATTCTCATTGTTTTATGTGGCGTATATATATTTGGTGCCCTCTTGTACCAAAATTTATGTGTTCAAATAAATAAAATAACAAATAAATAATAGAGTCAAGCAAAACATCAGCTGCGACCCGGATACCTTAGCAGTGTGAGATCAGTTCCGAGATAACTGCAGATACGCTTTGGTGACAAACCTGGATGATACCTAAGTCGATGAAATCGTTTAGATTGCCCTTAACACAATCATATACTTTAAGATATGATTAAATAGAAGAGCTGAGGCTTCAGTGGTCAAAGTACTCAAGCTTCAATTAGTAGGTTGGAGGTACGAAAAACCTCGTCCCACTTCGGTTTAGATAATAAGATAATATTGATATACCTTACACAATAATTATGACTTAAGGGTGAGGACTTAAATTTCTATTATAGTTAACAAATTAAATGAATCTATCTATCGATTATACAGTATAGCGGTTTGTGAAGAATGAAAAAAGGTATAAAATCTATGACATAAAACTGGATTACACCGATATTAAAAAGTAAAAAAAACACAACATTTGAAAAGAAAGATACAATATACTTTACTTACAGGTGGCAAACTGACAACTGGCTTATTATCCAAACGTTTTTCAATAAAATATGTTTTGATCACTACAGATACCCAATGGAAAAGGGAAAATAAAAGAATAGAAAAAGTCATTTTGGGCACACATATGTATTTGCATATATAACTAATAGAAATTAAAAGAAAACAAAGCAAATAATCAAAGTTAATTAAGTATAAGTCAGTAAACAAGTATATGTTTGAGAATCATTCAGCTGGTCAAACTAAAATAGGTGGGGCGAGGTTTGCACTTGCAAACTATTAATTGAAAGGTAGATGAATTTACTAACTGACCATCATTATTCCGCAAAACCAGAGTAACGTGCTCGCTTCCTATGATACTAAGAGTTCCACGAGTTCTTCAAAGCATAATATAAAGCTCACACAAGTAAATCCATCTTTTTGAATTTATCAAGTGTGATTGTTGAAGATGCCTTCTTTGAAGCAATTGAGTAGGAATCGAATGTTCATTTGATTTTTCTACTTATCATATTCTTACCATGATGCTAAGTTAAATTCAGTACTAATGAAATAATTGTGTAATACTGTTTAAACGTAGTGAGAAAAACATACAACAAAAACGATCACTTTGCAGTTATTGTTGTCAATCATGAATCATGCACAAATAATCCTTCTCATCTAACACCCGACATGTTATAGATACGTCCATATACTAACTTTGACTTCAGTAAAGTGAATGAGATAACTTTTTTCCTGCCCCGCTAACGAGATTAAGAAATTGAGTTTTATAACGGAAGCTCCGCTAATGATCACCTCAGTAGAACCAAAAAATAGATTTAGGGCAATCAGTTATATATTGATAATAACGATTCAAATTTATGAACTGAATTATTATCACGAAACACGAACCATAATAAGAATGTGTTTAAAGTTAATCGTGCATTAACTTTAAATTGGTATTGATTTCCTTCCTTATAAGTTAGAATTAGGGACTGTTATTCTACTAAGCTACTGAGTTTAGATAGCCACTAAACTTTTTTAAAATGATTAGGTCTCTGAAGCGAAAGATACCATATCCAAATCCTTATATGAACATAAATAAAGGGATGCACGTATATTTAGCTTGCTAGTCCCAAATAAAATGAAATGAGTGCTCTATATGAATCTGTCAGCTACAGTCATCCTATTCTATAGAAATTGTGACAAAATAGCTATTTTGAGGCAACCTGTATAAGATGCATGCGTGCCGACAAAGACTGACCAAAATAATTAGTAGATTAGCAATAATAATAAACACAATTATATGAACGAAGAATATTCTTTGCAATAATTTCTCATCAGGTTCTACAATTATCTCATATTCAAATTAATAATCCATAAAATTGGCCAAATTTAAAGCAGAGTACATCATCATTTGAAAATTGTAATATGTGAATCAAGAATTGTTGTTTGTCATATAAAATCAAATCAATTCGTTAATGTTGGGGTTGACTAATATAAAGTGTTAACTTGAATTAGTTTATAAGTGAAATAAAATTGTGTGATAAATGATTAGAATAAATATGGTCAACATGACGTGAAAGAGAGAATAATGTAATTGCAAATCACAAATTACGTAATATGTAGAATAATATGAATTAAATCAGATATAGTAGATAGGGATGGATGCTGAATACATTTATTATTACACTTGACAACCTTTTTGAGAAATTGGCCTTAAATCTGACCAAATTTATGGATTATAATTTTAGATTCATAATTGTAAAACCTGACGAGAAATTATTGAAAAGAATATTCTTCGTCCATATAATTGCAATTTAATATAACAGGAATTATTTAGCGATTAATAATAAATAATCCGAAAAGTGATTTAGAAGATTTTAACTTTTCCAATATTCGTTCAGTTACAAGAATTAGTGTTCGACAATGATGCTGATCCTGGTTGTTTCAAAAGGCACTACTAGTTGAAAGGACTTCATCTAACATCATAGCCACATATGCAAGGCATAAATGACACAAGACACTTCTTTTCACTGAAATAATTACCTCAGAAGTAGTCTCATGTTCATCTATCTCTACTTCCGTTCAAATATACTATTTTCTGAAACATTGTCACTTTATCTGTTTTCCGGATATCATACTTGGAACATTTTGACGTCAACATCGTCTGGTTCTCTCGTACCTAGGAGTTACGTCAGAGTGCAACCACGAACTTCTGTCAGTCTTTTCAATAGTCCTGAAAAACAGATCTAAAACTTATAAACGATGATTAAGTGAGATTTCAACGGCGTGTATATCAGCTGAATACTTGACGGCGAGAAAGCATTTAACCAAACAACAATTCGGAACTAATAACTAACCTTAATCAGACATCCAATTTAAAAAATGAAATACAAACTAAACTAATGAATAATTAAATCACAATTCTATACTATTGAAATATATATCAACATCAGAGTGGTAATAATCGAATTTTAAGATGCAAATACATATTAACGGTATTATTGTGAATTCGTCAATAATTTTTTTACTGAATTATTAAATTTGTAATAAAAACCATGCATCATCTAGAATTCAACCATACAAGGATACGATGATTGAAGGAGACATATTCGGGACCTTACCTAACCATAAGTGAACAAACTAATTAAGTGGTATAAAACATCAGGTTGTCTATTAAGGATAATAACCTAAAATAAAATTTATTATGGAAAAACTGCATACTATTAGTGCACAGATGATGATTAGGACGTTTATAGGATAAATTATTCCTTGGTCGTTTGAATTGATTTTGAAGATTGATGTTAATTTCGACGTTCTTTCTAGTGTGCCCTGACATCAGAAAGTGTATTATTTAAAACGTATTATATGAACCTAATTAAGGATTATGTCTTTACTTTTGTATAGTCAGATGCTAACTTTCATGTGTGTACGCCTATAAATAATGCATGTGAACCTTTGTATGTTGTTTTCCAACGTACACGCATAATGACAATTCCGATATTCAGTTACGTATTTATTTGGGAGACCCAGAAAAATTCATCGCCAAAAAAGCCAAGAAAGGTTCAGAAAACACTGAGAAGCATCTTATCGAATAAGCTTTCTTTATTAGTTTTGCCAGAAACATCTAGAAAGTGAAAAGTCACATGTCGAGTTACTGATAAGATGAGTACTTATACTGCTACTATGTTTAGTAGCATTCCAGAATTTTCCGCAAAACCCAGAGACATTTAAAATACCATAAAAACCCTAAATTTTCTGAACATAAAGAAACCATATTTCGAGCCTTTTCTCTTGTGTTCAAGTCGTTGTGTAGATCCAGCCTGGGGGTTACTAGAAGAGCTTAGGAACCGGATCTAGCGTTCAGTTAGAAGACTTGTCAGTAGCGACGGTGAAAACTACAATGAATATTTCTTTGGAGCAAATAGAAACTTATATGGAGCGTCAAGAGAAGCGGTTTGATCAGTTACCATTCAGAATCATGGGACCCCTTATGCAGAAATTGTGCCTGCTTCTGGTGAATTACAAGCACCTCATACCGATTCAGTCATTAATGCAATCCGTGAATTTAATTTTGGTGTAGTAGGTGTTACTTTTGACTCTTGGTCCAAGAAATATGAAGATTTGTTCTACATTGATCTCTGAAGACTGGATAACGCTTCAAAGTCAGAATACTTTCAAGAAAACTTGGGACGACGGAACATAATTCTCCTTAAGAACCCACGAGACGTTTGATGAAACAATTAAAACCCTGTCTCAAATATTTGGAGAAAAGTTATCTCTATTTAGTATCCGTTACCAATCCTTGAAAATAACGAAAAAACCAGATGACTGGGGGAAACATGCAAGAATTGTGAACCGAGACACTGAGGCGTTCAAGTGGTCTTCCACGACAGATGACTAGTTTAAATGCCTAGTATTTTTCTGTAGCCCATTGTTCACAAAAAATTAACAGGAGTGATGGGTCATGCCACAATTGCATAAGACATCAATCCTAGAATCTTGAGGTCTGTCTAGCCGATAAACGCATTACCTGCAAATGATTTAGTAAGAATCAAAAGGTATACACACAATTACAACTTCAGTCAGTTGGCAATAATTTGTGATGATTATCTAATATCATAGGTTATATATTATATCTCAATTCTGGCACACATGAACGTTTTCCTGAGAAGACATTGCTTTTATAGAGTTGAGAGGATTGTTCAGTTATTTCTTGACTTTTGGAGTTGTTCTCTAGCAATTCATAAATCAAAAAATTTAGTTAGTAGAATAGGGAAAAGAGAAAGTGTCTTGCGGAAACAATATTAATTTTACTTACTAGCTTCATCTTGAGTATGTTTAATGGCGAAACATTGTTCTTCTTTATTAAAAAATTCAACTAACACTTTGAATTTTCGAATATCTATGGAAAATGAAAAAGGGGAATAGATTATATTTACGAAAATAGTCAACATTTATTGAACAACCATCATCTGAATTGAAATATGATTAACATTTTTAAAAAAAAATTCTGTCTAATTTACATTCAAATGAGCAAAAAACATAAATGTTTTGAAATGTCAGTAACTATAATTGAACTCGAAACGTGAAAGTTTTCTACCAGTTCTGCTGCTACAACTACTTTTCTTTGACCCATCATATTAAAGACAGATAAAAAATAGTACAGTCGTTTCGTGTTTCCTTATAAAGATAAACAGGTAAAGTAAGTCAACAATTGTGGTGCTTCCGTTTGAGATCTTTATCACATTGCATCCATTATAACTCCGTACAAATAGCTACAAAACAGAGAGGCTATTTTGTAGGTGTCATTACCAAGGTTTGACCTTATAACTTAAAATAAATTGAGCATTGGTTATATAGTTATTAATAAAATCTATATTTTGGTGGAGTTTTGTTGTAAATTCCCAAGGAGTAGAAAAATTAATTTTTCTGACATTTCGTGACTCAGTGTAAGCCACTTCTTTGGCGAATAGAGAAATGAGGATGTGAACAACTACATACAGATGTTTATGTACAAGAGTTTTAGAACATCAACCTGATTAAGAAGGATTATTCATTTGTGATTCTAATTTACTGAATGTACACATACCATAATTCCATAAAATTATATGTTAAGGGAAAATAAAAAAGCTAGATGATAGATTCACCCAAATTAAAAGTAGTACAAGTTATTTGATGAATATATTTATTTTATTAGTTGAGATCATGAGTCAATTGAAGTTAGACCACCACGGAAAACCTGGAAGCACTGGACGGCCGTTTCACCCAATTGTGGGACTCCTCAGCAGTGAGCACCCACGATCCCGCCTCGCGAGACTTGAACCCAGGACCTATCTGTCTAGTGAAAAACAGTGACCTGCGAGTTTAACTGGGTCTGTTGTGAGATAGTAAGTCACTGAAGACAATGGTGGATATGTCGCGCAATTTCGTGGATTAGTTGAAGTTAGAAATTAGTGGTCTAGAAATTTGTTATATCTAGAGCTTAAAATCTTAATATGCCGCGTATGACTTGAGCACTCGAACCCTAGAACTCTCCCAAGTTGCGAATGAGAAGACAGAAAACAAGTGTACGGAATGCTATTCCAAACAGTGTCATTTGTGGTACAGAACTATCAGGTATTTATAGTACTTAGTAAAAAGAAAATCTTCATTATAGTCATCCAATCCGCATACATGGGAGCTACATGTAGGGATTCTGGAATGTTCTTTCAAAATATGACTGGATGGAATATCTTCGGCTCTTTCTAAGCTTCTTAGAGCTCCCTCGAGTTCAACGGTGAACCGTCCTCTCAAGGTTAAGCGTTCGCGCGCGAGACCAATAGGTTCTGATTTCGAATCTCGCGAGGCGTGATCGTGGATGAGCACCGGTGAGAAGTCCCACAATAAGACGAAACGGCCGTCCAGTGCTTTCAGGTTTTCCATGGTGGTCTACCTTCAATGGACTCATGATCTCAACTATTAAAATTGCTATAATAACCCCTTCCGATATTGATGAATATACGCCTATTACGACAATTTCAAATATAGGCGTATATGTACACTAACTACACATGAACATGTGTGCTTCAGCGAATTACGATTCAGAAAACTAAAACATAATGCACTTTCGAAAATCACACTTTCTTGATAAGTAATTAGATAAAACTGACACAGTGCGAAACAATTGGTTGTTGGAATCAAATGAATGGTTGAACCATATGCGTCTGTCCTACAATCAATCTTACTCTGTAAGTTAATTGGTGAGTATAATTTTCGGACAACCTTTGAGCGACGCTAAAATGACCTTGAAAGTGTTCACCTAAGAACTAAGATCAAATGGGGGTTATAAACCAGCGTGAAGAATTAGAATTATGATTTACAGTTGATGGTGGGGTCAGGAATTATATTTACAGTTTTCATCACGAACTGATATCAGCTGTAATGCCGAAACTCTATTTAGCCAAATCGATGGGTGAATTTCACGCCAAAATCCAAGACATGTTATCTTATATCCGATTGGTTCGTTTGTAAATTATAGTCTCGCCAGTTCATTTCCTCTATGCAAAAACTATGTTCACACATGTATGTATGCCAGGTGAATGCTCAACTTGTACATCAAACTTGTAAAAAGATACTGTGACAAATGAGACAAGTGAAATTCAACATTTTCGAAAATATTCTATTGAAACTAATGTAGCACATAGTTAGCATTGTATGAAATATACCTATAAACTCTTGTATCAACTAACAATGCGTATTGTAGAAACAGCATCCCGTCCCAAAAACAGTGATGTAACTCAGTTATCAAGTCAATCACTCACTCACAATTTTGAATCCGGTACGTACTTACATCAGACCAAGTTGCCATACCCCGTTGGCACAGAGAGATGAAATAGCGATGTACCAAGTACAAGTTTATGTCTGCTCAGCTTTAGGCCATAAATTTGAGTCCTTAAAGAGGCTAATGTATAAAATTTTGGTGTTTCTTTATTTAACAGATATTCACAAAAATTGCAGACAAACTTCCAGGTCATTAATAAACATGTTAATATAATTGCGATCAGTGTTTGGAAACGTTAGGAGACATGGTTCAGAACCAGTCACAATAGCGCACATGGATTCACTCTTTATTTAGATAATGAATTCCAGTATTCCTTCACACATTCCTTCTTATAACATCTTCTGGAACCATGTTCTTAACATTTAGTCTTTCTTATTATCATTGATATAACAATTATTTCGATTTGTTTGTCATTTATTTTGTTAACTTCATTCCATAGTGATATGCTGCTATGCAACCTGAATGAACGCCTATTTGTGCCAAGCTTTACTTTAATAACAGCGGATTAATTCAACTTGATTCGATAAAAAATTCACCTACTAACACTACTATTACAATTAAAACAGATGTATAAGAATGCCTCATTGATGGACGTTCGAATCAAAGAAGTGGTTTGATACTTTATCTTCCACTACTGAGAATAAGATTCAGTGTTCTCTGATTTGGTCCGAACACTGGGTGAGTATCGTAAGCTACTACATACATATAAAACGTAATTCAAATTCATGAACATAAACACGAAAGCTTGAATTAATAACTGGGAAAGCACGTTAGTTTCTTCAAGGTAGAAAATAAACCGTATGTGCGACTCTCAACTAATTGCTGATAGCCTTTCTCTACTCAACATCGAAATTAAGGCTATCATTATACCATATCATCAGATAGTTTCAATATACGTTTTCATAACTGTCTTATCCTTCACCAATCCTCCGAAATTAATAGACTATCAAAATTGAAAAGTAACATAGGATGTATTGGAAAGACAAAAGAAAAAGCATAATTATGGGTAGGCAAAACACAACTGACCATGAACAGGTTTTCCTTCAGAAACTTCATAAATATCTTTTACAAAACTTAAAGTAGCCTCAGAAATGTGCACTTTTCCCGCTTCACCACTAGACTCCATTTCATTAGCTAATGTAACATCATTTGACCAAACATCGAATTTAAAACGTCTTGTTCCGACAATTCCACAGATCACTTTACCAGTGTGTACACCGACACGCATATTCACCTGAAATAATAAATGTACAGTGAAAACTCAGTAGTGCTTATTTCAAACAAGTAGCAATGAAATATGAAGACAAATGATGGGAAGTTTTTTGGACCTATTTGGCACAAATCAGTAGGGCATACAATTGATATAAAGGGGAGTTACAACGAATTGTGAGACATAACATAGCAACACAGTCAGGTACATTACTACTGAGCTATTCGAGCAGAGACTGACCTCACTAAGACTACAGATCGTATGAGAAATCGACCGATAGAATTTGATTGAACAAACAAGATATTGGTCACTGTTACTTATTAATGCATGAAGTAACAAACATCAACACACGTTCACGGTAGAGTCGAATTGATTACGTCTTCTATGCCACTAAAAATAAATGCAGACAGCACTGTATTTTTTAAATTTCAATACATTGATAATTAGAATATATCCTGGTAAAAACAAGTTGTATAATTAAAATTGAATGATTTTAGTTCTAAAATGCAAAATAATATAAAAATTAATGGGTCAAAAAAGAGTTCAGGTTCGGGGATATGCATAAAAATGCTATAAGACAACTGCATATTTCTCCAACGTCTTCAATAAACAGAAATATGTTATTTGGCTACTGCAAATTAACGAGTCTCTAGACTGGAGAGATTTACTTTGAAAAGTCAGAAGTAGAAAAATTACCCTGATGAGATCCTTTGTGCCAAACTTTAATAAAAAAGAGGAAAGTGACCAGGTACTAATGGGTAGTTTGACCCAAGAAAAGAAAAAAGTACATATCTAGAGTGCATATAGCTTTCTGAAAACTTGATGCTAAAACTAAGGAAGTTGGGGAAAATTGATTTCCAAATGAAAATGTATATGAGCTCTGATGAAACAAATGACTGAAAAATCTGTACCGATAGTCACGGATTACTACGGGAATGAAGGTTCTGGTTTGTAAACTTTCCTGTTAAAGAGTAGCGGATTGACCTTCAAAACAACGATAGGTTTTATATTGGATGTCTGACAATCTACAGCCCTTCACCGCCTTTTAACCGATGAAAGACATTTGAGGTTCTACAATTTAAAAATTTTGATTATTCTCAGGTATGCATATTACTTGTTAGTGGATATATATTTCTCCTAAACTGTACACCTGAATTAGGATATAGACAGAATAGAATTTGAACCCATGACTTGAAAGATGAATTTGGTGTTCGTTACATCTTTAACCATGAACCACATATCAGGTTTGTATAGCAATAATGAAACATGCTTACAGTTGCAATACGTAGTCAGCTAGTTGGTGTAGTAGTTAGGCTCATTCACCATTGAAACATTATCTCTCTAAAGCTATTGTCTATCAAAAATTTAGCGCGTTTTCTTAAATTAATAATAAAATAACCTGTGTATTCTCAGTACAGTTACCGGCCCTATCTAAATATTTGTCCTTTTTTGTTTGGATTAAACAGTTCAAAATGATTGTGATTTTATGACACCAGTAACGAAAATTTTAAGTAGTGTGTTGTGTTTCCTCGATCCGTTTCCGACCCATACACAAAACAGTTTGAAAAAAAAAACAAAATAAAGTAAACTAGAATTTAAGAAAAAGATAAACAGACAGACAGAAAGGAGAATAGGAGAATTGACAAAACCGGTTCGTCTTCGTCTTCCAAAATGAAATAAGTAAATAGCAAAATTAAATGAAAAGGATGATTACGGAAAGTGTGTTGATGATGGAAACATTGTTAGATGTTCAATATTGACTTGAATAAACAATAATCATAATAACAGTATGATTGAATATGCTATGGTTGACATCCTCGAGTGTATACCAAAGACTGATAAGTAACAGATACATGAAATAATGTAGTAAAACGTGGATATCTCGGATAAAACTACGACCCAGAAAACACTATGAACATAATGATGACGATGACAAACATGGAATGATTATATGAAAACTAAAAATTGCAAAATGTATTATTTCTTGATGGGTTTTTTTTTCTAAAAGAACATTGGAAGAGGCATTACAAAACAATCGATATACTACAATATAGACTACTACCAACTATCTAATTAAGTCTAAAAGTATTATCACTCAACAATTATTACACATTCATTTCGATGTCATCCACTTACGAGTGTGTGAAATTTCATTCTTTGTATTTCTCTCTTTGTGTGTGTGACTGGGTGAGAGAATCAGAGCTAGTGACACTGCTTGACTGGCTACTCTACGAGATGGGTGAAGTCGTAATGGGTTTTTAAACCTGTAGCCTAATAGTGATAGGGACAATTAATTTACCGGTATCAATTTATTTGCGTAGGTGGGATTTGTTGACGAAGAACAAACAACTCACTTCATCATCAAAAATATTTTTAGAAATCACATGAATATCCTCCATAAAAAAATGATAGTTTTCTATATATCATCCGTATACTACCCATGGCTAATTAGAACACGATACACCTGAGTCCGACCGTTGTGAAGAAAGGTAGATAGAAGTGATGACTGTTCTGAACAGATTGCATTTTGAACAAACCAGCGATTAGTGGTACGTAATATCCAAGTTGTGATTAAGAATTTCCTAAATATATAAACGGTTTTTTCTGTATCTGTGTATTGAAATACGTACTACAAGAAGATAAACACCATCATAACATTTTACATCAAGCTAGCTTACTAATGATAGGCTTCGTATATGGTTCCATCTAGATTAGAATCTACAGGAACGAGGGAAAAACCTGTAACAGAAAAAAACCGCTTTTCGTCCCAGAAGGAAACCGCAACATTGTGACATTCATCAACAGACGCACGTAAAACTAATTTTTTGATCAGTCAGTGAATTGATCCGTAACACTAGAGGAGTTATAAATGTTTGTGCTTGAGCTACAATTATTTACATATATTTTCATCAACCCATTTACTAGGTGGAAATGTGTGTATTTGGCTTCTAGCCATGTAAAAATCCTAGCAATCCTGACCCAATCGAAATGGATAAACCAGGGTTCAAGCCTACAATTAGGTGGTTGGATTTCGGATGTCTTAACCACCGAGCCACTAATCCATTAACAGTGGTGCATTTAAGCATATAAGCTAGTTATCTGAACTTGAATATGTACGAACGAATAACAGGACGTTGAAAACAGTCATTTTAATTTTAAAATAGGACATTTGAGTTCGCACAATAGTGTATGATTAACAAGTGACCTTTTTCATACTGTGAATATCTGGTGAGAAAAACTTACTTGTAACACAGGCAAGTTGTCCGTCTGCAAACAAAAGGCGTGTATACTGCGCAGAAAATTTCTCTATAATTTTGTGACTGTGAAAAATAGTCCATTGAACTAGGAGACATGGATAAGTTGTAGGTTTTTGATCATAACTGTCTTTGAAGCACTATCCGCTTTTCATCAAATCAAACGAGTAAAAAGTGTTAGGTTAGCGCATAGTGTACTATGCACAGATAGAAAGTCGTTTGACGAAGTGATGAATTTTTACCGATAGTAGTCAGAACGAGTGTTACGTAAATCTAACCATCGCTTAACTAGACAAGTGACATCTGATGTAGGAGCAAGTTGAAAGAAAGATAGGGAAGCCCAAACTAAGACGTGGTGTCAGTTCATGAAGTCAATGACTGTTAGTAAGAAACATGTTGGTAGATACAGACTGTCTGTTTAAAGTCACACGATAACCAGTGGTCGTAAGACTTGGGGTAACATGACTCAGAATCGTTTATAATGGCGCAAACGCTTTTACTCTATCTTTCGACATTGAATTCCCTCACATACACTGTCTTTACGAACCTTATTCTCAGCACTTAGTCTTTTTAACTGCCACTGCTTCCACATTATTCCTATCCTGTTAATCTCACCTCGTTGTGCTAATATAGTATGGCAACTTGGGACAACACTCATGTGCCAGGCTTCATTTTAATGGTGACTGATTAACTGGGTAACAAAAAATAAATTTTGATTAGAAATATAGTCGGACATCTACCATTATCGGTTACTTCGATGTAAGACGTTTAACAGACAACCTGTAAAACAAGTATGAGACTATTTCCATTTTTTCAGGCAAAAGCTCCAGACAAAACAATTTACTAACACTGATAACTAATTGAAATAAATATAAGCCAGTTATGAACGATTGCAGAATAATCGTACCAAAGTTAACGTATATATATATATATATATATATATATATATATATATATATATATATATATATATATATTCTTTCACTTACTTCCTCTGAATGATCTTCATCAAACTGTTGTATAGCTAAGCACATTGCTCTACCCATTTCCACTGTTCGCTCAGCATGATCTTCGGTTGGATTCGGACAACCAGAGACGCAATAATAACAGTCACCAAGAGTGGCGATTTTCTCACAACCAACAATTTCGCATAAACGATCAAATCTATCATTTACAGTAGTAGAAGACCAAAAATGACTGAAAATCCACATATTGATTATAATCACACCAAAATCCGTAAGAAAAATCTCATTCAACGTGATATACACCTGATAAAACCGACACATGTCATGATAATATTAGCATATGATACGTTTACAGTTATAAATTGGTAACCATATACACTGGTGGTGGCCTGCTTAAATATCTGGGCAACCCGTTCCTGCCATTTGGATATTTCAACAAGTTATATGTTGTCTTGTTTGTTTTAACACATCATTATGCCAATTGGTCGCATAACCTATTCAGGTGCGTTTGTGAAAAGTTCACGACATTACGCTGCACAAAATTACAAAAGAACCCAATCAGAGACATCGTGGTTACTGGTAATATGCATCGGAAAGAATATAGACTAATCAGATGTCGATTCCTGAACTGCTAACATCTAACTGGAGACCACTCAATATTTATCGCAAGGGTCGATCAAGAAATAAGGAAACTTGTTGGAATACTTTGTGCTGAGAATTCTATATTGTACCAAACATATAATATTGAATAAAGCCAATAATAATACTATGAATGCAAAATACCATAAAGTTAGGGTGAAATAAAAACTGGAGTGACAAAGTAATTAAAAGTTAAGCTTTTATCAGAAAATGGGCCATCTTAACAAAAGTTATCAGTAACAGTGACCTGTTAACGGATAATTAATCAAGTGATCACAAGTCAGGAACCCTAATTCATATAATTGAGAGAGCATGAAAGTGTAGAAACACGTCAATTAATTTGAAGTACGACCCAACTACTTCTTTACTTATACTATGATACTATCTCAAACTCTTGAGGAGGATACTTTTTATTACACCTTGATTACAAACATACTTTGTCTGTAAACTCATGAACAGAATACCGACAGTTAAATGATAGAAAATAATGATACGGTATGGTAAACTGACAACTACTCATGAAACTGAACCATTAGACTAAGTCCTCTTCCTCAGAATGAACTGGTATCAAAAAGTAATCAAACTGCCTATAGGATTGGTTTCTTTCAGAGTCAAGGACAAACTTACATACAAAACATTAAGCACAAAGTTAAACATAATTACATATCTTTCACCACCGCGTTAAACATACTGCGGTTTGAGCAACCGGACATTATCATTAGCTCCCATATTTAGAGTGTGGCTTATATCCAAGTGCTTAGTGAATCACTATTTTTCATACACCACAGACATGAAGACCTGACAATCAGACCTCTTTGCTTGTTAAATGACACTCTAAGACAAAATATTCTTTAATCAAAACTACACCATTTAGTTGGAACAGAAATAGTTCACCAAATGAGTATGGTTATCTCGAAATTGTAAATACACATTCTGGATGAGTGTAGTAAGTCAGTCACAAAGTAGAACCTGGTACATAGGTACATCAGTTGTCATACCCCATTAGCATAGAGAGATGAAATTTTCAGATCGAATCGCAGAATGGTAGATGTAATAACAGTATCGGTGGTGATTTAAAAGACTAAGGATCAAAGATACGATTCCAAAAGAAAATATAAATTAATGAGATAAAAGCACGAGAATAGTTGCGAGGAAATCAGAATCGCAGAAATTCAATAAAGACAGAGAATGGATGCACCTGCGCCATTGCAAGTGATTTTCAGCCATGTTGTTCATAGTCTCTAACAATTGGTTACGACCATCAGGCAGACCTCAACCAGATAGTTTGCTCCAACTAACATGGCTCAGTCTAACTGTCAATAGCTTTATGGGTGGAAGATGCCCCTAATTTTCTTCCAGTCTACTCTTACACCACATAACACTGCCGGTCGAGATAGGCGATGGTTGGCCATGCGTAACAGATGTCCCAACTACCTTAGTTGATGAAGATTTATCACCTTTTCAATCGATTTGCCATCGTTATCTAGTAGTCTATTCCTAACCCAGGAATTGCTTACTTCATGATCCCAAAATACACGAGTAATGCCTCGAATACGTCCATAATCGAATACCAGTAACCTATGAACATTCTCTATTCTTAATGATCATGTTTCACACCCATGAAGTAGAACGAAGCGGGCTGATGTGCATCCAACTTGCTCTTTAGCTGGCAGGCAGATATCTTGCCTAGGCCGCAAGTGACACAAGTTGACTGCTTGTGGAATATACTTCTCTCTTCCGAGCTTCGACTTCTCTCTCTAGTTAGCAGTGCTGGGACGCGTCAGATTAGCTAACTTATCTGTTATCGTGTCACAGTCTTCGTTCCGTTCTCAGATCACGGAAACTCCTAATCTCTTCAGACATAGCAGAATAATAGTCCCATCTTTTTCCGAGATGGTTTCACTAACAGCCGGATTTTTAACACCCGTTTCCTTGGTAAGTCTGAACAGTTGTTTACTGTGACCTATCGCTGCTATCTTTTTCATCTCTTCTGCTTTCGCTACCCACCACTGCTTACGATTATTTCGGCTCTTGATTAACTTACGTTTAAGCTGCCTCTGCTCCTAATCGTGTTCAGAGCCAGATGGGATGAGTTTATGAGCATCTTTCAATTCTACAGATGCCATTGAAATCCACTGATTTTTCCTAACCATTTGATTTAAGTTACAGGTAGATATAATTGCTGTTTCCACAGTTCTTTGGATATTATCTGAAGTTACCTCGCAGTGAATATCGCTTAACTAACCGCCGGAGGCAGAAACCCGTGGGATGAGGTCCACCTTTTCTATCCCCTTCCTGTTGTGAGAAGGCAGTATTGCTGCAGATGCTGATTGTTCGAGAGAAACATTTTACTGTTTTCACATCCCTCTACAGTCAGAAGTAGGACTTTGCCCTCGAGCCTTAAGCTGTTTCTTTTAATCCTACTGTTATCCAACCGACCCGCCTGGCATGGGCATTGTGACAATACCAAGTGTGTAATACAGAAGTAGTTTTAAAACCAATGAATGGATGAGCTACATACATATGCGTAAAATACCAATATAATTATTTGAAATTGACATATTTCCAGATATACACGTCGTAGACCCGAACCCCGGTCAATCTATTTTTGTTTGAATAGACAAGCAATATCACTCAGCTCTCTCGTATACAAAAACAGTAAGTCTCTAAGTTAAGTACGTAAATCAGTGCATGGGATAAGGGAGTCTCATAAAAATATGGATCCGAATATAGTACGTAGATATATCGAAAACAATGATCCAACTCAATTATTAACTAAAAACTTGTGTACTCAGGATTTCGAACCATATTTTTTTAGTATTACAGTGCTATTACTACTGCCCGTCTGCCCGTAACCGAGATAGATGGAACTGAGTGCATATCTTCAACTCGACGATTGAAAATCCAGTTTATTCACTAACTTCCATGTACCCCATATGTATATTTGTTTGAAAGATTTGTGTGTGAACCACCGAAAGTCCCAAACCAGCACGAAGCAGCTGTTAAGTACTCTCTATTTGATATTATAATCAGTGGCAAGAAACCAAATTCAAGCCTATAGATATTTATGATAAAAGTGATGGGGAAACCCCTCTAGTTTGTTAAAATCAACAATAATGAAAATAATCAAAATCGGATAAATTCAATAGTTAATTTAGCCATGAAAGTCAATAAAACAGGATACTGCGTATTGTTTGATTCTCATAATTTGCGATCCATACATAATTATCTTTTGTGAATAATTTTAGAAATTTATTTGCTTTTTAAAGTGATGTATTAAGAACATTCTGACCGATGCATGACCAAAACCATCGACTGATGAATAGAAATTGCTAAAATAAATGACTTGAGTTGTCGAACTGGGCTTGATGTATTTTAATTGATTACACTGGCTGAACATGAAATAGCTTCATCTACAAAACTGGTACTTTTGCTGTAGTTAGCGGGCCAGGGAAAACAAGAGGACGGTACAGTTTTATTTACGGTATTAAAGTCGAAGTAGAGAAATTATTAGCACAGTGTACAAACGTATCACACTTCGATACACTACTGTGTAACCTATTTACAGCAAACTAATAGCAATTTGTTTGGACGATGGAAGACATAACACACTGACTAATCGACTCAACACTTTCTTTGGAAATCTAAGCTGCTATTTAAATACAAATGGTTCTAACTAAAATCGTATGACTAAGTTGCTTATCGTATTAAGAGTAAAAATGAGCGCCACCAAAATCACAATTTGATTGTTGTTGGGGAGATCCAGATGATTCCTTGAAAAAAGCCAAAAATGCTCAGGAAAAGCTGAGAAACATCTTATCCAATCAGTATTTAATAGAAGTCTTACCAGAAACATCTAGAAAGTGAAAAGTCACATGTCGCGTTTTTGATTGGATAATTCATTTTACCGCTACTATGTTTATTAGCGTTTAAGTCGCTGCGTGGATTTAGTCTGGGGGTTACCAGAGAGTTTAGGATACCGAATCTAGAGTTCAATTAGAAGAGTTATCAATTGTACTTTTATACCCCCTACCTCTTAAAAAAACTTACGAAAAAGAAAGTGAACTTACCTCCCAAAAAGATCATTTAATAGATAGACAAGATGTGATGCAGATTTATTCGAGCTCATTTTAGTAAAACCAACAATATCAGCAAATAATACACTGACATTTTCTAATTGATTCACATGGAACTTTCGAAACGCGACAGCTCGTGCTGGAGGTACAACAGCTGCTTTAGGCATTAAGCTACATTTTTGACTACAACGACTACCATCATCACTAACGCCAGAACCCATTTCTAAGTCATCTGAAAATAAAGTAATTTAAATAGATATGAATAAATAGTAAATTTAAACTTGTCGGAATTTATACATGCATACAGTATACAACTAACTAATGTAACTTGAAAACATCTCTAGAAAGTTTCAACAAACGCAAAACTGTTAAATAACTGACTTGCTTTGTTTTTTAAATGAATAATAGACTGAAATGAAAAATAACATAGACAATATGATAAAATTACCTAAACTGGTTTACTAATTGCTAAAAGATACGAATCATATAAAGGACAAATTGAAGAACAAAGATAGTGCTGCAATGGAAACCTAAAATGTTAATTTATTTACAATTTGATTTTTTTTTAATAAAGTTGAAATGATCGAATATTCCAATTGTGACTGAGATTGACAACTGATTGCAACACCCAAATACCTTTCGAATTTTCAGACAATAATATTGACTTTATCAGACCAGTGGAACACAGCATTAAAAATCCTTGGGACATTTCTCATCAGATTTGAGTCTCAATTCAACAAATATAACTAGTGTATTAATAATTACTACTAATCATCGAGCAGTTGGTCGCACACAAAAATAGCTATGTGTTAGTTAGCCAGCGCTTAGACAGTGATAAGTATTACAAGTTGCCAAACGTGACCTGCACTTTTGTTCTCAGTTCCAAGTTTCGCTGATTATCTACCTGATTGGCTAAGTCGTAATGTGTCCACTCCATTACATTCTACCGAGTATGGCTTGTGAGTAAAATGCATACTATGTCGTACTGCCTTACTTTTAGTACAGAAACGTATGAATAGAGTTGACAAAAACCACACAGCGTTACAAGAAACACTTACAACTATTGTTTCTTAAAATACCGGAACTGCTCCTTGAATCATGTGATCGGAAATGAGTTATTTTTTGCTGAAGGGTAATACCGAATATTATACTACTTAGTAAAGTAGACTTCTAACGTTTTACGTAGCGCAATAATAAAGTATGGGTATATATATGCATTCGGCTTAGGGTCAAGCTTTTGATATAAAGGCTAGTTGATCAAAATGAAAGTCATAGAATCTGTAACCCAGTAACTTGAAATCAAGTACTTTGACAACCAGATAATCGTTCAAAAGTGCTTATAGAGGTAAACAAGATGAATTATCAATAATAAATCTGAAAAATGAATATTAAAGTAAATCTAAATTTTGTTTGACCAAAGTAAAATTTATAATAACTACCAATAAGTTTCCTGATGTCAGCCGGATATAGATTGGATTAAAGGGTGCTCAATCCACGATTGATTTGGCGCATGTTGATTGGCTAATTCTTTCCCAATCAGCGTAGGTCAGCCCCCGAATGCCCTGGCATGGCCGAGAGTGGGGAGAGTCCGCTCTCCCTCTCGAAATACTCTCACACGACCGCGCGTATACAGCCTCTGCCAGGGAAGTCCTACTCACTGCCTTCTCGTGGCGGGGGTGTTGTTTACGAAAATGAGAGGACGAAAAGCGAATGTCCGGCGCTTTAACCGGATCACAAACTAATGGTGCACATGGGCTCCAGTATCCTGCGGGAAAAAATGGCGTATGAACCAATTGTTGGTCACCGGCTACCATGGGATCGCATCTCCTTACGATGCTCCACTGCCTTGTGGGTCAGACCTTTAGGTCAAAGGCTCGGATCGTGGCCCAATAAGATAACCACCTGCTTTGGTTTGGGCACCCGGGCAGTATCACAGCCCACACACAAATGACGAACTCTCTATGTCTATGGAAACTACTTTTCTCGCTTCGAAAAACAATCAATTGATTCAAATTATTATCATTACTATTATTGTCATTATTAACACTATTATTATTGGCATTATTATTATTATTGTTATTATTGTCATTATTATTATTATCATTATTATTATTATTATTATTATTATTATTATTATTATTATTATTATCCACATTATTCACCCTCCTTTATTCCTACTCTGTCTATACTTATTTTTTCGACTTATACAGCAGCTCGTCTATAGTGGAAATTCGACTGTATCTAAACGTTCTCAAATCACTGTCCGGTTGAAAATTGTATGTTACCACCGAAGATGAGTACTGAAGCAGTTTTTCTGAAACCACGTGCACCATTCAAACTGGCTGCCTTCAACGTTCGCACACTTATGCAGGTTGGTCAACAGATAGGGCTGGCTATGTCTTTGGAAAGTCTTCATATCGATGTCTGCTGTCTATCCGAGACCCGTATTCAAGACTCTGGTGAAGTACTACAAATTCTCTCTACATCTGTCACTTCAAAAAGCTTCTTTTACGTGCACTTATCCGAGGACCCTGTGGCATCTTTGTCTGGTCTTGCTGGCGTTGGTGTCGCACTAAGTGCTAGAGCTGAGGCAGCACTAATCGATTGGATCCCCATTTACAGTCGGTTATGTGCTGTTAGATTAGAGAGTTCTAGGCACAGAAGAGAGTCGTTTAGGTGGTCGATGGGGACTTGTTGGTTGCAGGTCAGATAACGGGGACCGTCTACTGCAACTGCGCACAGACCACAACCTGTTTATGGCTAGCACTAACTTTCGGCACATTTATCGCCGATGTGCCACCTGGCGTCCTCCCTCTGCATCCCAAGCCTGAACTCAGATTGATCACATCGCGATCAGCTACCGCTGGCGTGGTCGTGTACAAGACTGCCGCTCCTTTTGGAGTACCTATCTGGACTCTGACCATGCCTTGGTCTGCGCCAATCTTGCCTTACTTTTCAGTGGACAACGAAGTGACCACCATCAACGGATTAGATGTTAGCAAGCTGGTTGCAACTTCTGTTGCAAGTAAGTATCGAACCGAGCTAGTTTCTAGGCTAGCTACCATTCCACCGAAAAGTATAGATGAGCATTGGTTGCAATTGCATGACGCCATTAAAATGGCGGGTACAGTCAGTTGTGGGTTTGCGAAATGTCCCGCTTATAAGTATTGGGTTTCTTCTAGTTCCTTACAACTCATTGAAGCCCGTCGGTCTACTCCGGGTGACCGTGAGTTTGACCATAAACGAAGGATGTTACGTAAGGAAATTGGGAAAAGCTTGCGTAAGGACCGAGAAGCCTGGTGTTCGAAGCGTGCTAATGAGCTGGAAGCAGCAGCTGCATCTGGTAACTACCGGAAGCTCTTCCAACTTATCCGAGCCACTGGCAGCAAAAAGTCTGGTGTGAGTGAAACAATCTGCGAGGATGATGGGATGCCAATCACTAACATCCATCGTCGTCTGGAACGATGGGCAGAGTTTTTCGAAGGGCAGTTCAACTGGCCTGCTGCTCCGGCAACATCGGTCACTGTCCTGCCCTCCATGGCCGGTGACGACTGATCCACCAAACGAGGAGGAAGTCCGCAAGGAACTCCAACTCTTGAAGTGTTACAAATCACCTGGCCCAGATGACTTATCTCCAGCTCTTTTTAAAGATGGTGGTGACTTTCTGACTAAGGAATTGACGACGTTGTTTACAAAGGTTTGGGAACTAGACAGTGTACCAACGTCAGGGAATGAGTCGATAGTGGTCCCTATCTTTAAAAAGGGTTCACGTCGTTCCTGCAACAACTATCGGGGGATAACTCTACTTCCGATTGCGTCCAAGCTATTGGCTTCCGTCATACTTCGTAGGTTGTTCAAAACTCAAGAAAGATTGACTCGCGAGGAGCAGGCTGGGTTTCGTTCTGGTCGAGGATGTATTGATCATACCTTCACCCTCCGCCAAATGTTAGAACACCGCCATACTTATCAAAGGCCAACAATCGTAGTGTTTCTTGACATCAGGGCTGCCTTCGATTCGTTGGACAGGACTGTTCTCTGGGATTGTCTATTGAAGAAGGGTGTGCCTGAGAAGTTTATTAACATCCTACAAGCCCTATATAAAAACACCTCAGGCAGAGTGTGGGCATACAACAACCTCTCTCCATTGTTCCATTCGAGCAGTGGGGTTAGGCAGGGTTGCCCAATCTCACCATTCCTCTTCAACTTTGCCATCGACGACATTCTGGAAACAGCTCTGATGGATATAAGTAATGGTGGTGTGGATCTGTTGCCTGGAGAAAGACTTCTCGACCTTGAGTATGCGGACGATATTGTCTTACTGTGAGATAATGCCCAAGGCATGCAATCCGCACTTAATCAGTTGGCAATCAGTGTCCGTAGGTATGGTATGTGCTTTGCACCTTCGAAGTGCAAAGTACTTCTACAAGACTGGCAGGATTCTAACCCTGTACTCACTCTGGATGGTGAGCAGATAGAAGTAGTCGAGAAGTTCATGTATCTGGGTAGCTGCATAAGTGCTGGTGGGGGTGTGAGTGATGAGATCAATGCACGTATAGTGAAATCCAGAGCGGCTTATGCCAATCTAGACCATCTTTGGCGCCTTCGTGATGTCAGTCTGGCTGTAAAAGGTCGGATCTACAACTGGTCGGTGAAAGCAGTTTTGTTCTATGCTTGTGAAACCTGGCCTCTCCGAGTTGAGGACGTTAGACGACTCTGTGTTCGACCATCGTTGTCTCCGAAGGATTGCTGACATCCAGTGGCAACACCATGTTAGTAATGCAGCATCGTGTGTTCGGGCATAGAGACGATAATGCAATTGGTGTCACCATCTTGAAACACCGACTTCGGTGGCTTGAACATGTTCTACTAATGTCGTCTCGGAGAATTCCACGTCGTGCATTATTTGCCGACTCTAGGACTGGTTGGAAAAAGCAGAGAAGTGGTCAGTACATGACATGGTGTCGTGGTATGAAAGAAAGCTGTAAAGGACTGGCTTGTGTCGGTCCTTCACGACTCCCTGGTTGGGGTCTGAGAGATGGTGCTACACAGTGGCTAGAGACGTTATCAGATATGGCTCAGAATAGAAGCCAGTGGCGATCCTGCTGTAACCTTCTTTTACTTTCTTCATAAAAAGTGGTTGTGACTCCCTTACCTGAAAGATTTTTTTTCCGATTGCACCTTTCTGTTCCCTCATTACTACCACACTACCGTACACCAAACTCCTCGTTATTGTTCTCTTTTTTCGCGCTCCTTAGTTTTTTTTCTATTTCTCTTCGAATTCTCATTGTTTTGTGTGGCGCATATATATTGGCGCTCTCTTGTACCAATATTCATGTGTTCAAATAAATAAATAAAAGTCGATACCTACAGGTTCTAGAATCTTCTCATGGAAAAACTATAAATATACTAATGTTTTTCCTATTGTGTTTCTTGCTTCCATTTACCCTTGTTATTTGGAATATGATCCCTTTCCTATTCAACTATGTTCTGATTTGGGGACTTGTCAAGTGAATTGGTGTCCAAGAATACTAAGCAATAGGAATAGCTAGGCTCTAATAAGAGAGAAATATAACACTTAGGTATAGACGTCAAAACATTATGTTGCTAGGAAAAAATTGGATAAGATAACTCTGTTACCAATCACTTTTTCAAGCGGTGTAACCTAAACCCTAGCCATTGCTGATTGAGATAATAGTAACTAATAAATTGTTTAACAATGTACGTGCAATAAAATCAGAGAACAAGAAACGACAACAAGAGAGACAAAAAGAATTGCAAGTCAGAGGCTCATAAACTATACTATGAGGCACACTAATTGTGATTGGTTCACTAATACCATTCGAGTGTCAAAACTCAAAAAATGTAGTGTTTGAAATGGGTGAAATTCATATGATTAAATCAGTGGGGTATAATTCCATGTTACTAAAAATTCTGGAGAAAAAAAGTTACAAAATAACTTACACGCAAAATCATATAATAACTCAGCCTAACACAGCAACTATGTTTAATTGCCTCTGGTGATTTTGAGATATGCTATTTACTAAGAGAACACAATGTTTTCATTTTAAAAGAAAATCAACCTATTTCTTATTTTACAAACTAACCTTGTCGTATAGGCTGTTGTTCACAGTTACTCCCGACACTCCTTTTCTTTGGAGTTTGTGTTTCATCTTCATCTTCACTATCTACCTCATCACCAGCATAATTGAGTCCACTAATTTTAAAACTTTCATCTAAATTGATACAATTCGCTTCGTGTAATTTTTTGTCTTTCGATTTTCTATGGTGACTTTGCTTAGACTCATTCCTTTTATGCTTATTTTTATTCTTGTCGTTTGAACGCCTATGATGATGATGATGATCATGATCATCATCATCATCATCATTAGTGTCATATTCAATAGAACTTTCATTGCCCACTTCACGCATTACTTCTTGTGCAACTTGATTAGGCATTAATGAACGGATCATATCATCACGTATTTCTTGTTCTTTCTTCAATGCTTTTCGCATTAAAGCATTATAACCCATGCGTAAAAATGTCGATCGGCGCCAAACCTATGTTTTTTTTAAAAATAACATAATAATAATGATGTTCCTGCAAAAAGCAACTAGTTTAAGAAAATAATAGCAAAGATAGATTAGAACAACAAATATAGATGAACAATATCGTTTTCAATTAGATCCTCATCAAGCTTTATTCTAATGTACATGAATACTTAAATGCATATACGAAATTATCATATTAATCACCCGACTGTAGCTGCTACCTTGACGTGGTGGTCGGGCTTGCCTATCGCGATGACCCAACCGAGCTATATTGGCTGGAACATATGTTCCTGTAAGCTCTACCATGCCAGGCAGGTCGATTGGAGAACGGTAAGACTAAAAGCAGTAACTCAAGGTCTGAGGGCGAAGTCGTACTGCTGGCTGTAGAGGGGTGTGACAACAGTAGAGTGTTTCCTTCGGACAACCAGCATCTACAGCGATGCTGCCTTCTCACAAAGAAGGAAGGGGTTAGAAAAGGTCGACCCTAAAAATGTCACACCTCACATTACCTCACGGATTTCCGTCTCCGGCGGTAAGGCCCTTTGAAAAACGGAGCTAACACGTCAAAAACCTCCCACAAAAAGGCCGTGCGCGACCGGCCTCAAGCAGTTATCCCCTGGGCTCTGCGGTCACGCTCCCATGTCGTTAAGGCCGACATTAATCCGACTTCCACGGTGTGGGCAGCCGGGAAGTGACATCAGCCCTCATACCCGTAACAGCGCACGAGACCAAGCTGGTCACATTCAAATCCTTCGTACACCTCCTAATATCTCTTACCTCCACGACTAACCCTTCTCACGTCCCTTTATCACCTCGCACCGCTAGGGCGAACGATTCAAGTACGCGGAACGTTATTCCTGATCTCCTGAAATCACGCCCTAAACTACATGTAGGAGCTTTAAACGTCCGAACACTGTGCCAAATAGGACAACAGGCTTCCTTAGCTAGGACTTTAGAATCTCGCGCCATTGATGTGTGCTGCGTCTCCGAAACGCGCATACAGGATCCGAGTAGCGTCATTCACTTAACCTCACCATGTCAAAATAAAGAACCAACTCGATTCACACTTCGTGCATCTGGAAGCCCTGATTCTGCTTCTCGTGGCCTCGCCGGCGTAGGTACAGCACTGAGTCCTAGGGGAAGAACTAGCTCTCTTAGACTGGATCCCAGTAGACATTTGTCTGTGCATTGTCCGAATAAACGGAACAGTAAGGACTCGGAAAGATAGGGACACTTGTTGTTGCCTCTTAGTCGTCTCTGCCTACTCCTCCACTGACTGCAGCTCAGACGATGTAAAAGATAAGTTTTACAGAAAGCTTTCCGACCTTCTCAGAAAAATTAGACGCTCTGATGTAGTAATAGTGGCTGGTGACTTTAATGCTCAAGTAGGTAAACTAAGCGAAAGGGAAAGACACCTGGGTGGATCTTATGGTGTCGTGGCTCAAAGAACAGATAATGACGACCGTCTGTTGCAGCTATGCTCAGATAACCGCCTCTTTCTTGCAAATACTAACTTTAAGCATAAGGGAAGATATCTTTTGACATGGCGACTATCGAATTCGTCACAACGCTGGACACAAATAGATCACATCGCTATCAGCCATCGATGTAGTGGATCGATAGAAGACTGTCGCTCATTCTGGAGCACATGCTTACATTCAGATTATGCTCTAGTGCGAGCGCGTATTTGTCTGCGTCTTACTGGACGTAGGAAAGACGCTGCAAGGAAACCTCTTAGGGGCCTACTTAATGATAGTCAAGCAAAGAATATATCTCAGGAACAACTAGAAAACGTTAAGCAGCCATGTAAATGATGCCCACCCCGAGGCAGCATGGAATGACATCCGTAAAGCTGTGGAAACAGCAGTGGTATCTGCTAGTACAGTAACCCGTAAGGTTAGGGAACGACACTGGATCTCAGCAGCATCTATCGCACTGATAGATGCTCGGAAACTCATTCCACCTGGCTCTGAACATAATGAAGAGCGGAGTCAGCTTAAGCGCAAGCTGACAAGAAGTCTACGCAGTGATCGTGAACAGTGGTGGGTAGCGAAAGCAAGAGAGATGGAAAAGTCAGCGGCAGTAGGTAATTGCAGACAATTGTTCAGACTTGTTAAGAAAACCGGTATTAGGAACACAAATGTTAGCGAAACTATCTCGGAAAAAGAATGACATATTCATTCTCAATCTAGGAGATTGGGTCGATGGGCAGAACACTTTAGGGATCAGTTCAACTGGCCTTTAGCCACACTTCAGTTTCCCACGATCTCCAACCAACCTGAATGGCAAGTTGAAAAAGCTATAGGAAATCGAAAGCGTGGGAAAGTAGAAGGTCCTGACAGGTTTACTCCTGAGATTTTTAAGGATGGTGGTCCAGTATTAGCAGTGAGATTAACTGAGGTCTTAGGTAGAATTCGGGAACTGGACGTAATCCCATCTGACTGGTCTCAATCACTGATTGTGCCAGTTTTTAAGAAAGGACAAAAGTCCTCTTGTGACAATCACAGAGGAATCAGTTTGACTAATATAGTGTCTAAAATATTAGCTTCAATAATTCTTTGACGCCTAACCAAAGCTCGTGAAGAGCAGACTACAGAAAATCAGGCTGGTTTTCGACCTGGACGTGGTTGTATAGACCAGATATTCACACTACGTCAGGTTCTAGAACACAGACACACATTCAGACGCCCCACAATGGTAGTATTTCTCGACCTTAAGGCGGCATTCGACTCTGTTGATCGTAAGGTTCTATGGCAGTGTTTGTCACTGAAAGGAGTACCACAGAAGTACGTTAACCTTATAAAGGCTCTCTAATCGAACACAACTGGCAGAGTGAGACCTTATGGCGAACTCTCATCAGAATTGATTACCTCAAGTGGTGTTCGTCAGGGCTGTTCACTCTCTCCTTTCTGGTTCAACTTTGTCATTGACGTACTTTTAGAGATGACACTCTCCTCATCTAGATTTCCAGGTGTTAAACTTCTACCGGGAGGTCCCCTTGTTGACTTAGAATATGCTGGTGACATAGTTTTATTTGGTGAAGACGCTGATAAAATGCTGTGTTCTGACCACTCTAAGCAACAATGCAAGCATGTTCGGGATGCGATTCTCCCCTCGAAATGCAAAATGTTGCTTCAAAATTGGGTTGCATTGACACCCGAACTAATGATAGGGAGCGAAGTAATTGAACGTGTCGGTCGCTTCACTTATCTTGGAAGTCTTATCAGCCCTGGTGGTCTGGTGTGTGACGAAATCTCAGCACGGATACAGAAGGCTCGACTAGCCTTTGCCAACTTGCGTCATTTATGGCGTGGGTGACATATCCGTCTATCAACCAAAGGACGGGTTTGCTGTGCAACAGTTCGTTCCGTCCTACTTTATGGCAGTGAAACATGGCCGGTAAGAGTAGAGGAAATCCGTAGGTTACTAGTATTTGATCATAGGTGTCTTCGAAATATTGCTCGTATATCCTGGGACCACCGAGTAATTAAAGCAGTTGTTAGGAAACGGGTACTAAGTAAGGATGGAAAATCAATTGAAGTGGTGAAACTTCACATATGTTACGTCTGCCCAACCACCGACTGCCCCGACGAGCGATGTTTTATGGTGTAGGAGTAGGTCGGAAGAAAGCTAGGGGTGACCAGACCAAAACATGAAACAAATACATTAAGTTGAAATCATGAGTCAATTGAAGCTAGACCACCATGAAAAACCCGGAAGCACTGGACAGCCGTTTCGTCCTAGCACGGGATTCCTCAACAGTGCGCATCCAAGACCCCGCACCACACGGGATTCGAACTCAGGACTTGCTGGTTTCGCGCGCGAGCATTTAACCACTAGACTACTGAGCCGGCATCCGACGGTGTTAATGTCTAACTTCAACCAATCCATGAAGTTGCGCCACCGTACACCATTGTCTTCAGTGAGCTGATATCTCACAACAGACTTGGTTGAACTCCACTGGAAACGGCTTCTCAGTAGAACTCCCGGAGTATCTCCTGAAGTCAGTCACTAGTGAGCAGTTGATTATTATCAGAATGGGTTTTGTGGAGATCTTTAGAAATTTCACAGGTTGAAATCATGATTCGTGGATTGATTGAAGTTAGACATTAACACCGTTGGATGCCAGCTCAGTGGTCTAGTGGTTAAGTGCTCGCGCGCGAAACCAGTAGGTCCTGGGTTCGAATCCCGCAGGGTGCGGGATCGTGGATGTGCACTGCTGAGGAGTCCCGTTCTAGGACGAAACGGCTGTCCAGTGCTTCCGGGTTTTTCATGGTGGTCTAGCTTCAATTGACTCATGATTTCAACCTGTGAAATTTCTAAAAATCTCCAGAAAACCCATTCTGATAAAATACATTAAGTCACTGACAAGTGGACTGAGCAATGTCGGTAGGTGTAAACTACCCGGTTGCGATCCGCGAGACGATAGCAACCGATAATTAAAAACCTTGAATGATACTGCTCAAAATCATATATATGTAAATACAAATTTGAAATTATTTTGTTTCAAACTCATTACCAGTTTGAATCAATTTAAAGACTGAAATAGAAAACGTATATTAACGAGATTGAATAATACTAGCCACAACGTTCTAAATATATTCATTACAAAAGCTCCACACGCACTTGAGGACACGTAACTGAATCCTATAAGCGGCGTACTTAAGTAACAAACCCTTTGGAGGTAGGAACTGTCGAAAAACGTCGTTAGTGATGAAGTGAAATTTAATATTGAATGATTTGAACAAGTTTAAAAGCTCTTTTAAGTCCAAAGCTTTTCAAATTGCAGTTTGACAACTCATCCTTCATATAATACAAGTTTGGTAGAACACCTTGATATTTATAAGCTAAATGTAGCTTTTTAAATTTTAGTTTCAACTGACCAATATCAGGTCCTTTTATTATGAACCAATAAAGTCCTGGGATAACTAAACATCAAAAAATTCCCTTAACATTATTAATGTCCGATGTGTTTCTCTAACCACTTCTTCAATTATTGTTTTTTCATACATTCATAATAACTCCGCCTGGAGCCCCTCTGGGGCTACTGCCGGTCCCAAGCCCGGATAAGGGAGGAGGGTTGGGCATGGGGGTAGTGGCTCCATCCCGTAAAAAACTAGCTCGCTAAAAAACACTAACCAGCAAAAATAATTCAAACTATTTAAACTCTGCCCTGACAGTTAGAAGGTCTTCATTTAGGAGTTATGAGGCCTCATGGTGAAAGCCGAGTTTCTTCAGAAGTCACGAGGCTGACAACCAGAGTAAATATTAATTTAGGTATATGGAATGATCGTACAATGTGGGGAGACCGGAAGAGTCCTCCGAACTGTCGTTGAGAAATGCCCAACAAAGGACTTGACCATTCTGATGGGAGACCTAAAAGCCAAGGTTGGAATGAACAACACTGGATATGAAATTATCATGGGACGACATGGACTAGGAGAAAGGAACGAAAATGGTGAGAGGTTTGCAAACTTATACGCCTTCAATAAAACTGGTCGTAGGTGGTACCATATTCCCACAAAAATGAATAAACAAAGGCACATTGATTTCAAGGGATCACACTACACAGAACCGAATCGACCACATGTGCATCAATAAAAGGTTCAAGACGATGGAGGATGTAGGAACCAAGAGAGGAGCTGATATAGCATCAGATCACCATTTCCTGGTCGCCAAGATGAAATTGAAACTTAAGAAACACTGGACAGCGGGGCGGACAGCATCACAAAAGTTTAATACGGCCTTTCTTCGAGATACTGATAGACACAACGAATTTAATGTATCCCTCAGCTTTAGGCTCCAGGCCTTTCACGATCCACTCAATGGAGAGGGAACTACCATGGAGAACAACTGGAAAGGGATCAGAAAGGCAATCACTTCAATATGTCATGAGATTCTGGGCCACAAAAAGCACCATCATAAGGAACGGATCACTGTTGATACACTGGATAAGATTCAAGAAAGGAGGAACAAGGCAGTAATCAATATCAGCCGAACAAGAGCAGAAAAGCCTAGGCACAAGCTGAATACATAGAAACAAACAAGCAAGTGAAGAGCATAAGGACCGACAAACGTAAATATGCGGAAGATCTAGCAATGACGGTGAAAAAGGCTGCAAGAGAAGGAAGCATGACATAATTGTATGATACAACAAAGAAGCTTGTTGGAAATTATCGTAAACCGGAACGACCAGTGAAAAGCGAGGAGGACAAAGCAATCATCAAAATTGAAGAACGAAACAGGTGGGTAGAGCACTTCAAGGAACTATTGAATCGACAGGCTCCATTGAACCCAACCAACATCGAAGCAGCACCTACAGACCTCCCAATCGATGTTGGTACACCAACAATTGAAGAGATCAGCATGGCCATCCGACAAATCAAGAGCGGCAAAGCAGTGGGACAAGACAACATTTCAGTAGAGGCACTGAAAGCAGACATAGCAGTAACTGCAAAGATACTCCACATTCTCTTCAGCAAGATTTGGGATGAAGAACAAGTACCAACAGACTGGAAAGAAATACACCTGACCATGATACCAAAGAAAGGCGATCTCAGAAAGTGAGAACTACAAAGGCGTCACTCTTCTCTCAATACCAGGAAGTCTTCAACAGGGTATTGTTAAACAGAATGAAGGACTCCATAGGCGCCCGACTTCGAGACCATCAGGCTGCATTCCGTAAGGATCGATCGTGTACCGACCAAATCGCAACACTATGGACCATTTTGGAACAATCAACTGAATGGAACTCATCACTTTACATCAACTTCATTGACTACGAGAAAGCATTTGATAGCGTGGACAGGACAACAATATGGAGGCTTCTTCAACACTACGGCGTGCCCGAGAAGATAGTAAATATCACACGGAACTCTTATGATGGATTAAACTGCAAAATCGTGCATAGAGGATAGTTGACAGACGCATTCGAAGTAAAGACCGATGTCAGACAACGTTGCTTACTCTCACCCTTTCTCTTTCTCATGATGATCGACCGGATTATGTAGACATCAACATCTGGGGGGAAGCATAGGATACAGTGGACAGCTAGGATGCAGCCGGACGATCTAACACTTCCATCGCATACGCAAAAACGAATGCAGGAGACCAGTGTAGCAGCAGCTTCAGCAGTAGTAGGTCTCGACATAGACAAAGGGAAAAGTAAGATTCTCTTATACAACACAGCATGCAACAATCGAATCACACTTGACGGAGAAGATTTAGAAGATTTAAAAACTTTTACATATCTGGGCGACATCACTGATGAACACGGTGGATCTAATGAAGACGTGAAGGTGCGGATCGTCAAAGCAAGAGCAACATATCTACAACTGAAAAACAACTGGAACTCAAAAAAATATCTACCGACACTAAAGTCAGAATTTTGAATAAAAATGTCAAAACAGTCCTACTGTATAGGGCGGAAACTTAGAGAACTACAAAAACTATCATCCAGAAGTGTTGATTAACCGTTGTCTACGCAACAACGTCGCCATGTGGTATGGCAACTCGAACTGATATATGTACGTACGTTCTACGTTGTTACTGACTGACTGACTACGCAAAATACTTCGGATTCGTTGGTCAGACACTATCAGCAAGAACCTACTGTTGGAGATAAAAAACCAGATCCCAGTGGACGAAATCAGGAAGAAGCACTGGAATTGGATAGGACACACATTGATGAAAGCACCTAACTGCGTCACAAGGCAAGCCCACACATGGAATCCTCAAGGCCAAAGGAGAAGAGGAAGACCAAAGAACACAATACGCCGAGGAATGGAGACAGACATGAGAAGAATGAAAAGCAACTGGATAGAACAAGAAAGGAAGGCCCAGGACAGAGTGGATTGGAGAATGCTGGTCGGTGACCTATGCTCCATTGGAAGAAACAGGCGTAAGGAAGGAAGGAAGGAAATAATAGATTCATAATGTACGTAACGTTAGACGTAACAACTTAATAGTGAGTTCCGAACGCGGCTTACGTAGAGAGTTGTCTTTTTCCTATCTTCAACGTTGATGAGACCATGATGTATATTCAGAGAGTGTGTGAATGCATGTAGCGTAAGGAAGACTCAACTAACAAGACCAACAAAAAGGACAAGCACAAGCTGGGTTTGCACGTCATGAAAATTGTTGGTAAAGTCGCTTACTGCCTCGTGAAACGCCCTGATTATATGCACCGGGTTTCTGTAAGTTGCCTATAATTTAATAAGACATGCCAATCTGAACCGGTATATTGGTAGTTTGATGATGCACGCAAATTTTTAACTCAGAAAATTTCATAAAGCTTGAGTAAGGACCAAGAAAACAGGTAGTAAGAGAAAGCTAACAAGTTGAAAGCAGCAGATACTTCCTGTGACTGCAAAAAAACTGTTGAAACTCATCACAGTCGGTAAAGCAACCTGTGAAGTTGATGGGGTATCAATTAGTAACGTTCAATAGCGCTCTGAGCCCTAAGCAGAGAGTTTTGAGGGACAGTTTAACCGGTCTACTGAACCAGAAAGATCGATCAAACCGAATTATCCTCCCTAGCTGGCAACTACTGACCCACCCGACGAAGTTAAGGTTCGTAATGGACTCGAATCTATGAAGAGTCAGAAGTCACCAGACTCAGACTACTGCTCGTTAACTCTTCCAATCTTCCTTCTCTTGCTTCTCTACATTACTATCAACTGATTTGTGAGGTGCATTTTCTGATGCCTTATCGTATCAGGATTTGTGTGCTTTTAATAAGATTGATATATCACAGATGTGCTGCATTTCACTTGGCGTATGAGGTGTGATTATATGAGTTCAGTGTTATGAATATATAGCGGTCGTTCAGGTCCTGCAAAATATATATTGACTCGGTGCTGCCTTTTTTAATCCAATATGCATAGGATGGTTAGTTTAACAGTACAAACTAGATTCCATTTCCATAACTACGTCATCTATCCAACAACTATCTCTGGGTTAAGCTTACTTACGATCGCCCAGACTATTCGCTCCCGTCATGATGCGCCGATCGTTCAAAACACGCGACTGATTCGCGAGGAACAGCCAGGTTTTCGGTTAAGTCTTGGATGCAATGTTCACATCTCTACGCTCGCTACACATTGCACACCAACAATCGTTGTGTCTCCTGATATGGAATCCGCCTTCGATCCGTTAAACAGGAGTGTCCTGAGATTGTCTGTTGAAGAACGGTATCTGAGAAGTTTACCACTTCAGGCCCCCAAATGCCCTGGTATGGCCGAGTGGGGAGAGTCCGCTCTCCCTCTCGAAATGCTCTCACATGGCCACGCGTATATAGCCTCTGCCAGGGAAGTCCTACTCACTGCCTTCTAGTGGCGGGGTTTTTGTTTACTAAATTGAGAGGAGGAAAGGCGAATTTCCGACGCTTTAACCGGGTTGGTGGACATGGAGAGTCCACATAGGGCAGTTAGAAAACCCTCATTCCAAACCAATGGTGTACATGGGCTACAGTATCCTAAAGTAACAAATGGAGTATCGACAAATCGTTGGTCACCGGCTACCATGGGACTGCATCTCCTGACGTTGCTCCACTGCCTTGTGGATCAGAACTTCAGGTCGAAGGCTCCGGGTGTGGCCCCCTAAGATAACAACCTGCTTCGGTCTGGGCACCCGGGCAGTACCACGGTCCTCACGCATATCAAATGAGATCTGTGTGGCGCATATGTATTTGGTGCCTCCTTGTACCAATATCTATGTGTTAAAATAAATAAAAATAAATCGTTTACTAACATCCAAATGGCTCCGTATGCAAACGTCTCAGTCTGAGTAAGAAAATGCAACCTCTCCCCACTGATTCGTTTCAGCGGTGCGATTAGGCACGATTGTCCAATCTTAATATTCCTCTCCAAATTCGCCACCAGTGGCCTGGACATATCGCATCAATATCATCCCAGGGGCCTCCACATTTTGTATGGTTTCCTGGAGCTGAGACTGAGTGGAAAAGTAGGAGATGGGTAGTTTATGAGATGAAGTCGTGATATTAAAGAAAGGTGCATAGAACTGGCATCAGTAGGTCCATCATGACATCCTGATTGCGGTCTTAGAGATGGTGCAACTCAGCAGCTCGAAATGTTGCCAGATACGTTTCAGAACTGTGGCCATTTGAACCCTACCTGTAGTTTTTCTTACTTTTTTCATAAAAACAAAACTTATTTAACTGGAAAGGTTTCTCGTGATTGTATTTTTAACTGAACCGTTTCTCCAATTTCAAACTACTTGAGTTCACTCATTTTTGTCCCTTTATTTGTCTTTAATTATAAACACATGTCTTCCTCTATCGTTTCATAAGTACATTTCCTTAGTCGTGTAGTCTTTTTTCTGCTCAGCTGTATTGATATTTATAAAGTAAGATTTAGCAAATACACTACGCCTTGGTATTAATAAAATGGTTTGGTACATATACTCTGGGAATCAATGTAATGTTATCAGATATCTCTAGCACATCTGTTTGTGCACTACTAGTTGATTCCTAAGTGCATGGTTAGGGCTTTCAAATCTTCAGTCGCAAGTGCTTCAACCATGAATTCATTGTTCTACATATTATAAAATAACCAACAGTCAGACTACTACAAGGTTTAAAACTGAAGGTACATGTCCATCAAGACCAAACTTATTGGGACTAACAGCACTGGAAGCAAACGATGTGCGCGACTATCTTAAAATTAGGCCAAAACAATTGCCTATTCTCTTTCAAGCAGGAATACAGTATGGTAAATGTTTTAATGAGTAGGATACCATAAAACTAGTCAAAAACATGAATATCAAACCGAGTTCCTGGAAGTTATGATAAGACAGAGCAGACTTACTTGAGACATCAAGTGAAGATTAATTCCAATCAAATGAACGGAGAAATGACCGACGAAGAACAATAGTATAAACCAGCCTGGGACCCGATCGTACCTCACACTTGCTAAAACTATTTGCAAGACACTGACTGGTCCACATATTGCCAACAGCTGCCATAAGCGCAAAGGGGCCATGGTATATGTGATCAATATGAGCTGAAGAATTAAACTGAGATTAAAAGCCAAAGTAGCACCAGGTTCTGGTGGAGTAAATGCAAGCAAGCCAAGCAAGCATGAAATCCATGCGTGACTAATACTGATTAATATAGCTCGAGATCTGAAAAGTTTGTCGAAGAAGCTCATTAAGAAATAAGTAACTGAGATCACAACACCAAGACTGAATCCGATCCTGTATATTAAACAACTAGGATGTTGCAGAATTGAAAAATACACCAACCAAGCGACTGACAGAAAGGCTGTTAACACAGTGCCAAAACGGAATCTCCCACGAGAACTTGGGTAAGTACATTTGTAGTAAAATGACTCTAATACTTCCGAATCAAACTTGAGATTGAGTATTCCCCCAGAACATCTTTCAAATAAGTAAAGTCCTTTGATCTTGTGTTTTCGGACTGAGTTGATTCCTTTAGCCTTTTCAAAGTTACTTCTTGATGTCATTATTGGAAAAATAAATTATGCAAATATATTAAACACCATTTGAGTGGGTGAAGTTAAGATGTTATATGAGTAACTGATATCAGAACCTTCAAGGTAGGATCAGACTTTCAAAGTAATGATATAATATTATTATCAGACGATAATTATTCTGGTGAACTGATTCTTGTTACTCACTACCGCATGTCCTACAATCTGGACCGATGACCCGATCATAAAGTGACGACCAAGCCTTCTCGCGCGGCTCTGAATGTCTCCCAACATATCCAATATCCAATATATTTGCTCCAGGCCATTATAAACCAAGTTATTTCTTTTTGCTCGTTTCAAGTTTATTAAATATTTTTGTCACGCGTTTTTATAGACTAATTCATTTCTTCGCTCTGGCTTGTTGCTGTTTCAACACAGTTCCAGGTATTTGGTAGTGTCCATTGTGTAGTAGTCTCACATTTGATTACACCAATTCTAGTTTGTTAGTGACTCATGGGTCCAAGCGACTGCGTTTGTCCCAGGACAGCGAGGGTTCCAGATACCCGTAGCTATCACATTATCAACTGGAGGTCAGCTAATGGCAATGAAAAATATAACAAAGTGAAAATTCTAGAGCTAAGAAAAGGAAAGTGCTTCAGAAAATACAAAATAAGCTGACCTAAAAATCTTCACGCACAGTTTACAAATGAAGGCGTTATCCTAGCGTGATTTGGATCTCTCAAACTTCTGCTGGGTTCCGGCGCAACAGAAGTACCGCTATCAGTCCAAAGAGTATGTCTTCAGCTTGATGTTCGGTAGACCAATTTTCTTTTACAGTTTTATCTGAGTTGGTGGTTAACTGTGGTTTTGTCATGGCCAACGAATACAGAAATTGGTTTCGCAAAGCAAGCGCAAATCTAACAGCAACTGCTTACAATGGACTTAGTAAGTCAGATCACATATGAGTATGTGGCACAAACAAGAAAAGAATGTAAAGAGGGCAGGGACTACCCAATCGGAAAACCCTGTGTCGGCAGGCTGTCTGTCCAGTCACATAAAGCCTGCCTAGACAAATAGTATGATGGAGGTTACGTGTTTAACTCGATATCACAGACTACCCGTATGGAAACTCTGAGTTTACCGAATAAAATGAATGAGTTGAGTGAACTAAGTATCTCTAATGGTTCAAATGGTTTTGGATGGAATAGAAGAAGCTTTCGCTTAATGATGGACCGCCAATACCTCCAGGCAAAAACCTAGGTATATTACCGACGAAAGAGGGAAAAGAAGTTGGCAAATAATAGTATGAAACTATTCTTAATCCTTAAGAATATGTCAAGTTTTCTCTTAAACGACCAGCGAAGTTGCTTGTACTAGCTCAGCTAGCAGTGAACTCCAGCATTGGACTAATCTTACACAGTAGAAGTTTTGTCTACAGTCCATTCTGCTGAGTTGCGTTTCCAGTTTTTGGTTGTTGCCCCTTAAGTTTGTGTTGGAACCAAACTTAAGTAAGGGTTTGAGAGAATGTCGAGGTGTAGTTAAGATGATGTGAGCCATTAGGTCACCTCTAAAACGCCTGTACTCTAATGGGTAAAGGTTACGTGATTGAAAGCGCTCTTAATAAACCTTGAATTTGAGTCCTCCAACTGGTTTCGTAACAAAGTGTCCTTATCCTTTGGAAGTGAGGGAGGAAATAATGTTTACCTGCTCTAAATGGGGACGAATGAAACTGTTGAGGAATATGTCGGAAGTTCTGCCGTAAAAATGGTCGTAAATGAGCTTCAACGCTACCAGTACAAAGTTTGCTCGAAAGGTAATCTTGTCACAGTTAACGTAGGACTTCAAATCAAGAGTTCAAACTTCTAGATCTTTTTCAATTTGAGACACCTCTAGAGGAGAGGTGCCTGGATTGTAATCTGTAACATCTTTCAAATGAAGTACTTAACACTTTGAAGTGCTAAATGTAAGTCTGTTGTCATCCGTCAACTTTGGAGTCGAGTCAGATCCCCTAAAGTGCCAGTATATCCTCTTTACAGAGTACCTCTCTTTAAAGTTTCACATCATCAGCAATAAGTAATAACTCTGACGATGACTGTTGTGGACGATTGTTTATATAAATCAAGAACAGAAGAGGTACTTATACTTAACCCTGGGTTATCCTATCAAGACATTGCATAGCTTGAGAGAAAGTGAAGTTAACCCTGACCTTAAAATGTCGTGTTTTAGATATGAAGTGAGCCAATCAATTAGAGTTGACTTGAAACCCGATCGTTTTAATTTATCGATATGGTATATATGGTTGGCCCTATCAAACGCCTTTGAGAAGTCACAGTAAATGACAACATCCCTGCCCTTGCGATCAAGGATGCTTGTCCATCCGTCCACCGTATCAGTGGGCTGGTTGTACAACAATGACCATTCCTGAGACCATGCTGGGATAGAAAGAATTTTAAGATAATAAATAATCATGTATACCGTCGCACATCAGGGACTCCATAAATTTTTATGGTATATAGGAAAGTGCCACCGGTTGGTAGCTTGAAATTTTTTGCGTCGACCTCCCTTGAAAATTCGTGTGATGTGAACCAGATACCGAATTTCCGGTATTATGCATCGGCTTAGCAAGTGTGATAACATCACGCTAAGCAGTGTTGCCAGGATTGAAGCTGCTTCCATCAGTATAGCAGAATCAACCCTATGCTAACCAGAAGTGTCCTTTTTATGTGCTGCAGTTTCCGGATTACCAAGTCACGTTCACTTCCGAAGGTCTTGTGCAGTTGCAGATGAAGATTTTGTCAGTATAGTTGATGTCGGTCGGTTGAAATGTCTGAGAGTAATGTCCATCTAGAAGTTCAGCGGCGTCACCATCATTATTGGTCGAGTCATTAGGACCTAGCAGTTGGAAAACTTCAGTTTTTGCTTGTCGAAGAGAGGCTGCATAACAGAATAAGCTTCTCGGATTGGGGAAAAATTCATCGATAACATTTATCTGATACTGAAGCCTGCCCTCTCTTATCGCCTTAGTGCATATGTTTCTTATATGTTTGTACTGCCTGTACACTCAGTTGTTATCAGCTCGTTTGTATTCTGCCCAACAGTGGTTTTGGTGGCTTAGCAAGTGAAGAGTGCGGTTCTTGATAACTGTAGGTTGCTTGTAGACTTTCGAGACCATTCGAGGAGCAGACTGCGTTGTAGCACATAAGATCACGTGCAGTAAAAAATCCCAATAAGCATCCACATCTACTCAAGAGTGAATTTCCCAATCCAACTGTTGTACATCGTCCTGCATCGCTGACACATTCAACATTTTGAAGTTTCAGCGTCCATTGTTGCTGGGGTATCTTGCTGATAAAACTATAGGCTATGACGGTGTGATCAATCAGGCGGCCTGCCTGAATATCTGCGCTACCTGTTCCTTTCATCTAGATATTTCAGCTAGTTATGTTTCCTTGTTTGTTTGGACAGATCATTATGTAATTTAATTGCATAACCTGTTTAGGTGTGTTTGTGAAAGGTTTACAACCTTTCGCTGTACAAGTTACAAAAATTTACAATCGGAGACGTCGTGATGGCTGGCAATGCGCATTGAAAAGAATGAATATTATTCAGATGTCGACTTCCGAAATGCTAATATCTAACTGGCGACCACTAAATATTTGTCGTCAATATCGATTAAAAAAGAGACGGAAACTCGCTGAAATACTTTGAGCGGGGAATTCTATATTGTACCGAAAATATAATATTGAATAAAGCTAATAACAATAATAATCGCATTTCCCTAGTAAGCCAGGATTGAGAAGTTGTCCATTAGGAATTCTTTGTTAGCAAATACCTAGTCTAAGCGCAACGGCGTCTGATTGTTTCTCCTAGTTGCCGACTTCACATTTTCGAAACATCCCAGATCCTCAGTGAGGTTGAAGAACCGAGCTTCAATGTACGTATTTTCTGCGAAATTGACGTTAGGAAGATTGAAGTCCCCTAGAATCAAAATATGAGTGAATCCGAGACAAGCAGAGCGGGATAATGTTTCCAGTATATGATTGTCATCTTTAGTGTTAGCAGTGGGCTTCCTGTTAATGACTCCATCTACACATCTCAAGGCGGTAGACAGTCTCACTGAGCACCATACAGATTCGTCAAGTTTGATAACGTCTTCGTTGTTCACTTGACGTGCCTCCACGCAAAGTCGCATGTATAAGGCTACTCCACCGCCAATTCCTGTTGTTGTGTCATTGCGAAACAAAGACATGTCGAGTATTTCTAGCTCGCGGTTCGTAAACTGAAATGTTATTCAAGTTTCAGATATTCCTACCAGATGAGCATTACTAGCATTACGGGTTCATTTAGCTCATTCATTCTATTCTCTAAGCTCTCCTCGTTCATGTATAAGAAGTTTATGCTTTCAATTTGAAGTGCTTGTGATCCCATGTCCTGTTTATTTGAATAAGCCTTATGTGAATAGACAGGTAACGTACCTACACAGGGTTTTCCGATTTGGTAGCCCCTCTCCTTTCCGCATTTTTCTTATGATTTAGACAGTTCACAAGTAGAATGGTCAGCACCAAATTGCCTTTGTGCTTGGCTGTGACATCTTTTGACCTGTCCGGATGCATATGGATTCCAGTTGGCAACTGGCGTCTGTTGGCACGAAACGCTTCCACAGTTGCAGCCGCCATATGGGAGGATGTGAAGGTTATCTTTGTCAGACGGGGTCTAGAATCATCGTTCTTATCGGCTAGTCTTACTTGCTGAGTCAATATGTTCTTGAGCTTCAAGGACTGCTTGATGAACTTCCACCCCCTAATATCAGGGTTTGTGGGATCTGTGTTTCCCGGTACATCATGCACAAGGATATTTCTTCTGCGGAAAAACTTCTCGCGAGATTCCTCAAAGATGTTCCGGATGAGATCGCACTCAGAATACAGTATGTCAGGCAGTATTCTTACGTTCCTATCTGACTTCAGTAAGTGACTAGCCAGTAACACATCCTTTACATCGGCAGCGTTAACGAGTATCACACGAAGTAGCCTTCAGTGATTTTTATGCTAAGAGTCTTTTTACCGAATGAGCAGTGAGACTGTCAAAGGCTCTGTTTTGTAAAGTTTGAGCTTCTTGTTTAACTCTTCTCAAAGCATCCTGTCACGTTTGTCCTGCAAACTAAGAGGAAGGTCAGGACTGTCTTTGAGGTTCATGATTATGAGAGATTCTTCGCGAACCGTGATTGTTTTCCAGGTTTCGGATGCGTTCAGGTTGAGGACCTGGTTGTTTGGTAGTTGAA